GGCGGCTTGTAGTTGGCTGCGCAGTCCGATAGGGTTCGAACCGTTACACTACCTAAATCCTTTTATTACATACTTTAACTATAAAGTTAATTTTTAAATACTTGATTCTAGTAGGTGAGAGAATAGCTGACTATTCTTTTCTATAAGATAATTAATCTAATACGCTATAGTTATAGCAAAAAGAGAAAAAAAGGTCAGGCAATGAATCGTTTCCAAAAGGCTAGAGCAAACTATCTATAATATAAGAAGTGATACTCTTCTTTATCTTATACGCAAAGTAAATCGCAACTAGTACCGATAACACAATACTGGGCCAGTGGTGCTCATAACATCCTTGACTAGTACATCGTCTGCGACGCCTAGCATGTTCAATGTATCGTTCATAGACGCTGGAATGAAACTTGTGCTTCCCCAAGGTTTATGCATGCCGCTATAATCAGCTACACGCTTCTCTGGATCCCGCTGCTGCCAGTTCCACCACAGACGATCGATTTGCGGGTGGTGAAGGAAGAAAAGTGGCTCTGGAAGTTTTATTAGTCACTTGAGCACTTAACAGCACGTTAAATGAGCATCTAAACTCACCGTTTGGCGAAGTCGTGGGGTTCATTTCGCCACCCAAACTGGCGTGGATAGTTCCATGTGGACTGGCCTCGAGATCCGGCGCAAACTTTGCGAAGGTCTCGAGCTTCTGCTGATTGGCAACGTATTCCGGGGTGAGCGTATCTTTCATTGCATTCCAAGCCTCTGGCTCGTTGGCCTCGGCCACACTGCGGAAGAAACAATGACCTCCCTCCGTCATCTCAGTGGGCGAATTGGGGAGGTACTCTGGGCGCAGGTCCTTGAAGGGTCCGCTGTTGACACACGATAGTGTCTGGTCGGTGGGCGCGTTATACTCGCTACGGTTGGCGTCGCCGTTGCCACCGAAGCCGGTGGTGGACGACATGACCGGGGATGCGAGGAGGGAGTCGTGGTCGAGTGTCCAATCCCAGTAGCTGTATCTGTGTGAGTAGAGTGCATTTTCGAGAGTCTGGTGGAAGACTTGCGTTCCCGGGCCACTGTATCCGCACTCGCCGAGCGCATCAAAGTAGCACTTGGTGAAGTACCTGTGCCAGGGTAGAAACGTCGCTTGATTGTGGACTGGAAGCGTTCATCTTAGCGGCGTAACTATCGAGATAAATGGCAGGCTTACTACTGCCAGCCAATTGGAAGTGGATGTGCGGGAAGTCATCGAACAGTGACTTTAGACCGATACGCGAAGGCTTTGTCTTCAAGCAAAGCACGGCGTCAATGTATCCCTTCTGCTGAGCAGGCTCGAGCTTGCGCCACTCAATTCTCTGTGGCGGGTCGATGCATTTGCTGCCATCGCTAACCTGTCGTGCGGGGAGAACGACAGCCTGTGAGAGGCTCGCTGCGGCAAGGAGTGTGATGCTTTTGAAGAGCATATTGATAAGTGTGGAAAGGAAGTCTATGATTTGACTTTGAACATTTGCCGCAGCTGTGCCATTGACTTATTATACACGAAGGATTGTTGGAAGTTTGCTCTAGAGCCATTGCTAAACTTGGACGAATACGGGTGCTAAGCGTCTAAGAGGACATTAGCGTCTGATCTAGCGTATACCAGAGCATTGTTTTGAGCCTGAGCGAAGATCTTTTGCGCGGAACGAACACGTGCTGAGATTGAAGTGTATGTCGTGCTTGGATGTACAGATATTGCTCTCTCAGATGCAGCATTGGGGGGGCTTATTACATCATAATTCCGTATCTACCACAATAACGGAATTTAAGCCGTATACCTCATTGTGGATTTGTTGTTCGCACGTGGTAACGTTACATTCAAGCCTTACTAAAAGTGGGCCCTTCCCCTAAATGGCCTGTGCGAGCCCCTGACCAGGGTTCATCTACTGAAGTAACTAACCCCCATGTTCCAGCACTCGAGAGGAATTGTGTGGACTTGCAAAACCTGGCGAACGACAAAAAACATTACAAGTGTTGCTATCATCATGTACGTGGCACGAAGCGTCTGCTGAGCTGTTGATCTACGAAAAAGCCCCATGATGAATACCTCAAAATATCAGTAACGTGCGGCCATCTGCCCACTGGAAAACTAGGTTACACTGAACCCGGTGTTTGCAAGCAGGAATGCCGCAGAGCATATGAATATGAGTCGATTTATTTAAGTTTGCGCAAGCATCTGCTTCTTTAATTCACGCCTCCTCAATTTTATAGTCACTTCTTAGTCAATTGTTCAGTTCTTTGACGGCTATCTGACAACGCTCAGTGTACTGCTCATCACCTCATTAGCTTGATTAATGAGATCTATCATATCATGCGCGTTGGTGCGTGACATGTGTTTAAAATCTCACTCTGATAATTCATTAAAATCTCGCCATTGAAAACATCGTTGCAATGACCAGAACCGTTTATATCCGAACTGCCTAGCTTGACGAGAGCTAAGATTATGCCCGAATCATATTAAGACAATCCAAAGGTAGATGCAGAATTGGCATTGATAATTGCTACTGTGAATTGTAGAAAGGTTGTCGATTGGAGGCGTCCAATGATGCTTGTGGAATACATTGAATCACTCATCGTGCTGATACGTCGAATGCGCAGGGACTTAGCACCCAGGACTTAGTGCCCACGACTCTATTTCATTTTGTATTTTGCCATTGAATTGACTGTAATTAATTCATCCCTGAAGACCTTGGAATCTTTTAGAATTGTTTCAGTGCTCAAAACATGTGTGCGTCGTGGAAATTAATGAAGAAGCTTAGCGAAGACTTTAATGTTAGTTAGAACGTATTGTCGTACATATTCGGTTTCGTTCCGTAACACTGCGTTGATGTCATCGTCTAAAAGACGTGTTCTTAGCAGAGAAATGGGGAAACACTTCTTGCAATCATAGATGCGCATAAATGTGCTTGGCTCCACTAGCTGATCCCTCAGGGTCGAGACGGACACAGCACTACCAATACTTCCGTTCAAACTAGGCCCAGTCTCTTTAACCGGCAAGTGGTATTCAAAGTCTCCGCCATCAAGAAGACTGCTTCGGTTGTCTGTAAGACTGGGATGTGGAACGGGTGCGTTGCGCACCGCATTAGGGCTCGATGGTTTACGTGTTAAAGTGAATGACATTGTTGCGTTCTCCTTCTGGACAATCAATTATTTCTCTAGTGGTGTATCTTTTGGAGGATTAGCACTGACCGTATGAACGATGCCGTCTCAGTCGGTTTCGGTCTTGGGCGAGGTACCGGGAGGCGAATCATTGCCTTGCTCTTTCTTCACGCTATTCAAAATCTATTATAATGAAGCCGTACTTCTGGAAGCATACTTGAGGCGGCCATTGAGTGCATATCTCTGGTGGGCGGCAGAGGATGCGTTCGTTTGCAGATTGGTTTAGGTCGGACTGTTGAGAGGACTGGACAGAAACTCGAGACTCAAGTTCAGCCCGGTAATTAGGTGAAGCACGAGGGATCGCTTACCCTAAACTCTCAGAGTGGCTTCTATGACTTTCAGATGTAGGATTCAGATAGTTCGCGTAAGTTAAAAAGGCCAAAAACTCCGCCTGAGTTAAGCGCTGTGGCGTGCCATCTCCCGACAAAACGTATAGTTCGATACGTCTGATTCATTGCGTGGCAATAATGAATCAATTGCTAAGAAGAAAGGTCCTGAGAAGTGGCGAGGTACTGCTGCATGAATACTGGATTTTGGATGTGACAGTGATCTGCTTTCAATATGAGATTTATAGTTTGCAACACTGTGTATCGCGCAGTGCGAGTAAGGTAGTAGCGCTCACTCTTTACCGCAAACGTTCATCATTCAAAGAGATCGCAGTGCCCGCACAAGCTGGCATAGGACTGGGTGAGTTTGTTGATTTCGTCCGCCGGTAGTAAATCTAAAGTGGAGTAACAAACCAAGTTATGATTGTTTCTGACATGTCATATCATGCCATTTCAATCGGTGACCGTAACTTCCAGAACCTTAGAGAGCTAAGGCAGTGATTACTCAGTGGCAACCCAACGCCCCACTAATCACCACCTTTCGGGCGTAAGTCTCTTTTCTTCTTTTTTTCTTCTCGACTATCCATTTTCAAGAAATATACACGTACAAAGAAGATAAATTTGAACCCCTGTTGTGTCCATAGCTATCGTAGTGCATTAGAGATGCCTGAGAGAGCTCCAGCTTTCGTGCTTTGATGTCTACAGCATCGTATTCACGAAATAAGGCTAATTGTTGGTACAAGCCCACTACAACCCGACTGCTATGCGTATATCCAACTTTCCATAATATTAATGACAACACGACCTATAACAAAGATGGAGAAAACTACTCACGGCAGCCAGTGGAGATATTGCTGTCCTACCTACCAGGTTTCCATAGTACTAACACAAATGGAGAAACCAAAAACCCCTCACGTAGGAAACACCCGAATCTCGGCTAGACTAGCTAAGATCCTAACTCAAAAACCCGGCTGAAAAATTCGGACGAATTACTAACTGGAGAAACGACTAGGAGGTTGGCCGAAACATCGGCCAAAAAAACAGCCAGATAATCAGCCAAACCACCCGGCTTGTAAACCCTCAATAATACAGAGCTGAAGCTATCTCCCCTCCATAACGCTGCTCATCAGAATCCTAAATATTTTTTCAATTCCAAATTAATTTTTTGAACTTCAATGCCAAGCCTATCCAGTGCGGATCGGAGTTGCAAAAGGCTGTAGGAGGACACGAAACTTCAACGCTAAGTCTATTTTGGCACAGTTTAGGCCCGATCCATCGCTTCGTATTGGTTAGGGCCTATGATCCATCTCCAGCTTTGAAGTTTCACCAAACAGAAGCGCAAGCGGAGGGATGTCGGATGAAAATGCCGCATGTGAGATCTGCGGGTATTTCCATTCGCATACTCAATCAGTAGAAAGGCACCTAAACCATATTCATAATAGGCCTAAGCAACCGGCATCAGGTGGCAGAATGGTAGAGAGATTTGAAGACGTCAACACGTAATGCCTAGTGTCACTTTCGTCGGAAGCGACCAGATCAGCCAAGATGGTATTCACATAACTCCCAGTGATACAGGTTGATTATGTTAATGATTAATGGTGTGATTTTGACATTTCCTGACTACTCTTTTCTTCAAAGGTTGAAACAAAAACTCTCGGTCTGAATTTTACAGTATTGTGTTTGGTTTCTCACCTCAGATTTTCTGAATAGCAAGATACCACTGTCTGTGCAGGCTGCCTTGTCAGGGAAGCGTCGCCTTTTTCCACATCGAGCTCCCCTAAGTTCTTAATGACTGATATAGTTTCCATTCCACTACCGTGCTGATCATTTTGTAGTTGATCCGAAGCGACTTCATACCTCGGATTCTCCAAAATACTGTTCCTACCAACATGTTCTTGTTCGAAGTTTGCCTGTTTCATGGATGCGTTGCTGATAGATGCGCCTGCAGATGTAGAGTCTAGAACATGGCTGCGGTTCCGTGCTCTTGTGAAGCGTTGACGGGCCCGCTGTGCAGATGCGAAAACATAATTTCGATTACTCCGGTTTGCTGGATGAGGTTTCCGAATGGACCAAAACGACCTATGGAATACTGATGGCTAAGCATGGGATGTAAAGAAAAGGGACAGGAAAGCTTACGAGGTTGCAAACAAGCACTGTTAACAGCAACAATGGCGATGCAGAACTCTCGTATACCCCAGCGCGCGATATTGAGAACGAATATGTTGGGTACGACAGTGAGTGATACACGCGTAATACTTCGCAACCTGATTGTAAGCCTCGCGTTTGAGAAAATATAATGACAGAGTCACGTACCATGCTGCCAGAACGAAAAGACCAGAGGCTAAAAGGGAAAAAATACCAAACCGACTAGGCATGTAAGGTTTTGTTTACATTCAGAAAGGAGCAAAGCGACATACATGTGCAAAGGCTTGTTCAACTGCCAAAGAAGCGGGACTGGTATACTGAGCAACTTGGCTGTGTTAGTATGGACACTGAATTGTGGTTATCGATGGGCCTACAAAGACATCTGTTGTAGCGTTGAGACAGCTTGCAAGAATGAGTATTTTCGGTGACGCGGTACATACGAGAGGTGGATGTGGAACCAACTGCCATCTTTGATGGTATGGCAGGCATGAGAGGCTCAAAGCCAGTGTGGTGGCCGTGAATCCTGACAAACATAGAAATACAGTGAACCTTAACATATAGGTTTGCCAGCGCTCCAGGAATATTCGTCGGTAAAGCATTATAACAACGCCTTTAAGACTGAAGATCAAAACGATGCTTATTCTTGGTGAGTATCTTTACAACAATGCGATGGGCTTATGCTTACTACGCGTACCAAGAGCCGAGGAAGAGCTTGCTTGAAAACTCTACTTCAGCAAACTTGTCATGATTGAACAGAGCTATCTCAGCTGCAGAGTAGTCGGTATTTGTTCCAGTGTGATATATGATATCTGTTATGGCACACGTGTAGGTCCAGGCAATTAGTGCAACGAACGCGAAGCCATCATCAAGTTGCAGGCCCATTACTCCAACAGTACGAAGGCGGACTGCGAACCTAAGAAGAAGCCATAATGCACCAACTGAGTAAAGACCCCAAACCTCTGGTAGGAACTTGTCATCTCGCGCGGGTGCCATGACGACAAGCTTTCGCCGTGGCGTGTCAAAGTTGTGATTACCTCAGATTCAAATGGCAGTTCTTGTGGGTGTGAGTCATAATATCAACGCTGATAGCAACGCGAAGGCTTGCATTCATCTTTAAAAGATTGAGAGTTTTAGATTTGTCCGTTGGCTCGCGCGAAGAGGGGGTAGGTTTGGTGTTCGAAGCCCGTCCAAACTTTATTCTTGAGCATACTCGCATTATAAGTAGGGTATTTCCGATGATTTATCCAATTCGTCTATTGCGAACATGGGATTTATCTATCTTATGCCTTCCGGAAGATACCACCGGATTTATACTTATCCCAGCCCCCAAAAACCCATCGGATATCGTATGCTGCAAGGAAATCTTCACAGCCTTGGACGACTTGGTAACGAATCGGAACTCTCGGAGTTGGCTTTAATGGCCATGTGTGGCTGATCGAGAATACGGGCTCCCGACGCGCATCTCCCCTCGGCTGGAAGCCGTTAGCTTCCTGATCAATGGTGCACTTTTTGAAGCCCCTCATTATTTCCTAGTCAGGCAACTTAGCCGGACTGGTTATCAATCATGCTACAGCTGTTACGTATTCGGATAGCATGCATGTGTTTTTATCTAAGCTCCTCCCTATCTATCCTATCCACAATGCTTTCCCTTCACAGTGGTGATCGCGTCATTATGATAAACACTGGTGCCATGCTAGATACATGATTAGGATCGCAATTGGATGCGTCCTGGATTACTTTATCAAAAAAGTATATTTCAACACTCATCACACTAGAGAGTTATGCTTCATTTGCATTCCCCCTTTTTAGGATAACCTATTGTTAGGTCAAAATACTCATCAGGCTATGCGAGTGTGAAAGGCGGCCCAGGGTTACTCCAAACTGACTATAGATCACCTAAGACCGCCAACATCGAAGCCACGGTGTAGCAGTCATCGTACTGTTCCGTGGGACCTATCACTACACAAGAATGGGTAAATGTATTGGTGATCTGGAATTCTGTAACCATCTAACCAACTCAATTGTCAACAAGTGTGCTACTCGATTCCAATAAAACCAGAGAGATGCGTCCTCTGCTGGTAATGTCACCTAATCATACCATTCAAAGCAACGCAATAATTTAGCACGTACAACCTACAGCAAAAGGAAAACAGAACCCGATCTACGGCTGAGTCTTCACGTCAAGGTCATGCATACACACAGCAATTTGTGTCAATGTTCTACAGCGGAGGGACGTAGTCATTATAGTTCTGGTAGAAGGTCAAATAAGCAGTATGTCACTACGGTTCATTAAAGTCCAAAATCTTAGCTGTACCATTTCTGTACCTGGGACCTACAGCTTGTTTTGTAAATCTTGGCTAGGTATATCTAGAGCAAAACTACGCAATCTCACTATAGTTGCATGTCAATTGCCGATTAGGATCATTGATATTGCCATTTAAGTCAAGTTGAGCAGCACGATTAGCTGACAAAACGATGCCTTATCCAGTGATACAATCACACCTAGATGGGGAAATGTCTAATAAGAAATGGTTAAGAGACTGTAATTTTGTAAACTACCTATTACGGTTAGTTGTAGACGGCACTCTGTGTTGGGCGCCTACTGATCTGCTGCACGAGGTTTCCCGAACTAAGGCTAATGTGCACACGATTACTAATCCGTGTATAGTTGACTGGGGCTTATTCAGGGCCCATTCATATTTTTTCTTTGCTAAAGTGTTAAAGACACTGCTGTACTTGCTCATTCTTAGTATCCTCTCCCTCGTTTTGATTCTTCCCTTAGCATCTCACTCTTACATCAAAGACTCAATATCACCTACATTCGCGTTTTTCCACGTCGAAACTCCTCTATGCATCCCATTACCAGCATCGCCACACTTCCGCCCGTCCGTGTCCAACTGCCCTGCTGAATCAAGCACTACCTTTGGTAGGCATAAAGAATACGAGAGCCTGGCACACGCCCAAGATCCGCTTTGGGACGACCTAATCCCTCAAAACGGCGGGTTTCTGATTCTTCCATCTGCACACGGCGAGTTGAACCAATACAATGTTAGCATGTTCCACCAGCTGCACTGCCTCGCTATGATCCGAAGCGTTGTGCAAGGGCTGCAAGAAAAGACCGATCCCGCGCGCATCCACGTGCGTCACGACCATGGGCATGGAGACCCTGAAGCTGGAATAAGTGATAAGCATTGGCAACATTGCCTCGATTATCTACGTCAAGTAAGGGTCTTTGTGCTGGACTTTGTTCCATCTCATGACCGCTGACTGCTAGTATCACCCTCAGAGAATCCTTCGCAATGCCAACCCGACCATCGAAGAACCAAGGATTAATTCAGCAAGGGAAAAATTTATTAATGGAATGGTGGAGCGTCAATGTCATGGCCCCAACGTTCTCTTCGCTGCGAGTGTCGAGTCTTTTTGGTATGCCAATGAAGAGATTCGAACTGGTAGAAGGAAATTTCTGTATCACGATTGATTGAAATTTCGTATATAAACATGTCAACCCAACTACAATTCTTTGTCGCCATCAAGAGCTCTCCAGAATTTGTTCTCGGTCTCTTTGTGTCATGTCCAGGTTGAATGTCATTCTCGCATTCTTGCAAAATGCCGCTGGCGTCCTTTTAATCTCATCGCATGTTTCCTTTGAGGCTTCTCAGACATTGGAAATATACTTGGCGCACAAAAGTGCGAACTAGATTGCTTCGATGTACATGAGTAATAGAACTGGTAAAAAGTATGTACTGTTTCTACCGATGGGCTGTTGAGTTCCGAGGCCTGCTCCTGGATGCGATTTTTGGCCCCAGCGCTATGTAGGCCGAAATGAGATGTTTACGGTATGACAGACATGCCTTGTTGATATTGGCCGTAATGGAGGCGCATGTACCAGTGATGTATCTCTCTCATGCAACGCATGAAGAGTTCATTTCGCTTGTAGGCTCTCACATGGCACACGGCATCATGCCACGTCTGTCGATTGAGCAAACTGCCTTTTGTTCAGCCTTGTGTGTTCGCCCCCACACTCCATTTACAGCTTAGCTACTTCCAGGTTATGCGCTCGAGGGAAATGACTCGCGCTGGTGTTGGCGATCAGATCCATATGGTCTTTGCCAATCAGCATGGATTGATGCATGAGGCTTAGATGTGCACACAGTATTGGATCATGCTTGGCATCAAGACACGTAAATAGCCATGAAGCCGTCAGGCTGAGACTGAAGTGAACACCACTTGGTTCCTGCATCTACGGTTCGTGATATTTATTGAATTGGTTTCAGCACAAGATACCGCATTATGACGAGGACAGTGCGAACATTACTCTTTATCCTCTTCATTCAAGTCACTGTAACAGCAGCAGCCGGCGAAACGGGAAGCGACCGCATTGGGACCGGCCAATGTCCCGAAAATGTTGAATCTATCATGGCCTATTCGCCATTCAAACCATACTGGAAGTTTGATAAGTTCAAGCATGACGTTCAAAAGTGCTAGACCGCCGCAGATTGTCTCTTCGAGTCCTGTGGTGAAAGTCGGAAACAACAGTTTGCAGCCACAGCATTGGTCATGGGGCTCATACCGTTGACTTTGAAGGACGTCGCATGGCCAGAGCGCCGTATTGTACACGTTACCGAGCCTCTGCCATGGCTGTGCGATATCTTAGTCCTGGCTTTGGGCCTTGTACCACTACCGGCCGAAAAAGAAACCCTGCTATCGGCCCATCAGAGAAACGAAGAAAGTAACGGTTTGGCAGGATACGCGTGGAATATGAGAAGATCAGCCATACGCTTTATGGTAGTCACACTTGTTATATGCCTCTTGGCCTGCTACGCAGCACTGGTGTTCAACGAAATATACAGCAAAAGATCTGCTCTCGGTTGCGTTGTGCCTTTCTTCATCACCGCCTGGTATATTGTCGCTCTACTTCCAGCATCGATCCACAGGGCCTTTGCAGGACGGAGACAAGCACGTATCAAGAGACTGCATCAAGAACGAGAAACTCACATTGGTTTGATTCCACTCCAAGGATCCGGAATTCGACCAGCACTTGTGCAGAATACGACGATTACTGTAGAATGTAACAACGGCAGGGTAGTTTCGGCTATTCAGGGAGCGGATGAGGACTGGCCAGTTCAAATGGCCTGGGGTATATATTACATTGCTGGCACATTGATATTCGCGAGTATTATGGCGGTGACTATTATAGAAATGGCGGTTTGGGTCTTCTTGTGTCTCGCAGTCACTGGTATTAGCAAAGTTCTGGCGTTCTTTATCTGCCTCCTTTTCGAGAAAACCGGTCAAAGGAACTGAGCGTTGGCTGTATATTACGAAACTTGTTTGACAACGATCACTTTAATAGTTTGATTGGTAATTGGAACAAGAAAAACCAGCCGATTTTCAACGCAAAGAGCATGATACGAAAGGGAACAAGAACTGGGGGAGCGGGTGGGAATAAAGTCACTTCCAAGCCAAAATGTGGTGGCGGCTTTGCCGGTTGCGTTCAAGGGCAGCGAATATGCTGCAACATCCAATTTTCGGGGGAAGTGGTGATATACCTTGTATACCAAAATGAATCAATTCTGCCTGGCTTCAATGCAACTTCAATCGCCAAATCAAACACGTTGGGGATGCGAACCAGCTATGGTGACAGGGCTTTGTTAGTAAAGGAGAAGCATATCAGCCTTGTTTGGGATGTGCTCTCGATTCTGATGCTACGCATGCCACGTTGTGTTGGGTTGATGTCGATAGATCGATTGGTATCATGCCACTCTAGAAGAAATGAGGTGATTTCATTCGTGACTTTCGGATAGCAGCAATAGATTTTTCTTAAAACAAAAAACGTGTCTATAATCTCATATGGTGCTTTCTGATGCCAAATCAATCGCGTGTATACGAAGAATGATGTGTCTTACCAATATATTCGCTAGCCACAGCGGCCCTGCATGCCAAACTGATCCCAGAACTGTAATAGCACCGAAGCACATTACAAAACACTCAACATGCGTTCAATTAGAAAAGAGATTGCTTGGTGTCGCATGTGGACTGATTGGGTGTTCCACAGCTCTTAGCCACTAGTCGCTTCCTATAAATCATTAATACCTTAAATGCAAGCAGGGTTTCCTATAGAGGCTGGCTGATCATGACAAAGAAAGCATCTTCCGGGTTCAAAAGGTGCGAACCAATCAGCGTATGTTCATGAGAACTGCTGAAGCTGGCACAATGCGACAGTATATCTCCCTCACAAAGTAGCGAAAATCCAATTATGGACAACAGGTCTGAAGGTCCCCGCGGGGGTTCATACAATTTCTTGTTCTTGTGAACTACTGCACTGTTGTTGAGGCAACAGCGTTGTTACTAGTACATTGTGAAGGGGAGCGCTGGCCATAGTGGCCATACTGCAGGTCATGAGACTTCTTCTCTTCCCTGGATTTACTATAATAAGGAAACGTTTTTCATTTGGTCGATGCTTCCCCAACACAGCAACAGACATCAACCCAGAAGCGTTTCCAGTCTTGGTTCCAACTACCGCTTGGCCTTCTTCAACCATGGATGCATGGGTCCTCATAATGGTACTCGTCCTCATGACGCTTGTGATAGCAGGGCTAGTAACCTACTTTGGCTACCATCAGTACAAGCGACAGTTTTTCCCGAGCTATGACGAGGAACGTACGCAACGTGCTAAAGATAACGAACAAAACCAAGGCGGTAGTTCTGAACTTCGGGATATTGGGCGTCCAACAAATGTGCATCCCAAAAATCGGTCACATGGGCATTTTCACGGTGTGCCAGCGAACATGACGCCAGTGGCAGATCCAGTAGCACCTCGTGTAGATATCGAACACCAGATTGGAGAAGACCTCCTCGCCCCGTCGGAGCGAGTGTTCAAGACAGCCGAGGTGGCAGACGAGAATAGCCATGGACGACATAACACTGTCGAGCATTCCCAAGATCAGTGGATGCACGGTGCAATTGGAGCAGGCACGGTGCGAAATGTCAACGCAGTGAACCCAGCAAATGTTGAGTATGCTCCTGAAGAACCAATCGCGTCAGATATCTGGAACAAGATTAACAATCGAGAAGTACGGGTTCCTCGGCGTAAGCCCCTGCAGAAAACGGCCGAACAAAAGGTTGTGACAATTCGCGCCGTCACACCTGACGCTGAATAGTGCAATGCGCGGGCAAAGAAACTACTGAGCCCAGGACTCTGGAGATTGAGAGCATGAGCAGAGAGCGATGGAAGAAGGAAGAAGGAAAGTAATACGCGGCCTTTGTCTAGTGGTGGTAAATGGCATCAATCTGAAGACTTGAATCGTGAGCAACATCTCTAGGCGCTATGAATACCAACTAGGACGGCTTCAGCACCTTTGGACAGGTAGGGTCAGGTAGTTGGATAGGACGAATGGCTACGGGTTTAGCTCCGGTGGAATTTCTGAGTTTGGTGGGTGGGACGGATGGTATTGCCATTGGATACAAGGCCGACAGAGCTGTAAAGGAGCATAGATTCCATAGTCATAGATTTGAGAATTGAATTCAGAGTACCAGGAACCTGTGCGCGTGGGATCGGTTGAACGCATACAGTATGTGGGTTTGAGAGACTGGGGGGTTTGCATAGCTGTTCTTTACATAAGTGGGTGACATTCGAGAATGTTCTATGGCATTGGAAATACATACTAGACTTTGTCACGGCGGCGAGGGTGCGGACATGGCGATCGAGGATAACGGAGTAGAGTGCAGAGAGGCGCTAGATGAGGTGCGATGTGCGGTGAGATGTGAGTATGTCTATGTAGTTGTATGTAGTAGTACAAGGAATGTACATAGAAAGATGGGTAGCAGAGCAGGTGCGAGTTGATGGAATCCAAGTGTCGCGTGGTGCCGAGGTTTTGCCATGACGGCCACCGGAGGAGGAGCTTGGACGTCCGGCGATGATGTCGAGATTCCGACGTTGCTGATCAATTGATGCGTCCAACCATACATATGCCGCCACTACCACATCGCCTTTGATATTTGCACTTTGTTTAAGTATTCCTCCACTCGCATCAATTCACGTGGCGAGAACACGTGTGCTGCGTGTTTCCGCGCACATTACTCTCATTCCTTGTATACACACATAAGACTTTCTGCCGCCTGGCTGCACTCATAGTACAAACACACCATGTTCCAGAGCCAGAACCTGCCGTGGCGGGCAGCCCTTCGCCAGGCATCGCGCTCGAATTGTACGAAACTCACCACCAGATCATCATCACGATATCTCCCCGCCCAATGCACAGCGTCGCTTGTTGCGCGGCCACTCCACCGATGCCCCTCGCCACCCGCCGCCCTCTTCGCATACCGCAGCTTCTCCACGTCGCTAAGCAAGCAAAAGGAAAAAGACCCCAAGACACCACCTGAGCTACTGGACGAGGGCGCAGCAGAAGAGACGGACGAGCTAAAGAAGCTCAAGGAGCAGCAAAGAAGCCGAGAGGTCGAGGGCAAGAGTGACACACCCGAGCCAATACCCCCGCGCACCGGTTCTGGGCGAGGCAGCGCAGCAGGCGGAGGCACCGGAGGCAGCGACGGCGGTGATGGCGGCGGCAAGAAGCGAAAGGGCTCCGAACGCGCCCTCGTCAAGCCCACGATACCAGACGTCTACCCACAAGTCATGGCAATACCACTCGTTAAGCGCCCGTTGTTCCCTGGCTTCTACAAGGCTATCACAATCCGAGACAGAGAAGTTGGCCAGGCAATTGCCGACATGGTGAAGCGGGGGCAACCGTATATTGGAGCCTTCATGTTCAAGGACGAGGGCGCGGACAAGGACGTTATTGACGACCCTAACGAAGTCTATGATGTGGGCACATTCTGCCAGGTTACAAGCGCATTTCCCGTGGGCGCCGATGACAACTTCGCCATGACCTGCGTCCTCTACCCGCACCGCCGTATAAAGATGACGGGTCTGAAGCCGCCAGCACAAGCCAAGGAGGAGCCATCAGTGGCTGAGAGTACTTTGGACGAAAGTTCCGAAACACCAGAGACCGATGCTGCTGCAACCCAATCCAAGGGTGACGTCGTTGCCAGCTTCGAAGAGTCCACCGAAGAGACCAAGACAGCCCAAGGCGCCCTGGTCCCCACCATTCTCAAGGGCCGCAAGGTCAGCATCGCCGACGTGGACAACATGGTTGAAGAGCCGTTCGACCTAAAGTCAAACAAGACAATACAGGTGCTGATCAATGAGATTGTCAACACTTTCAAGGGTGTCGCACTCTTGAACCCACTGTTCCGAGACCATGTCTCGACCTTCTCGGTACATACTACCATGAATGTTGGCGAGGATCCCGTCAAGCTGGCCGATTTTGCAGCTGCTGTAGCCCAAGCCGAGTCGCACGAGCTGCAAGACGCGCTTGAGGAGATGGATATTGAAAAGCGGCTGAGCAAAGCACTGGAGCTTCTGAAGAAGGAACTCATCAGCGCGGAACTGCAAAAGAAGGTCGCAGACGATGTCAACGCCCGAGTTACGAAGAAGCATCGCGAGTACATGCTAATGGAGCAGATGAAAGGCATCAAACGTGAGCTTGGCATAGAGTCAGACGGCAAAGACAAGTTGATTGAGAAGTTCAACGAAAAGGCCAACAAGCTGGCTATGCCCGAAGCCGTGCGCAAGGTCTTCGAGGAGGAGATGAGCAAGCTACAAGGCCTCGAACCCAACGGATCAGAGTTTAATGTAACCCGCAACTACCTTGACTGGCTCACACAGCTGCCTTGGGGTTTACGTAGCGCAGAAAACTTTGGTATTCAGCATGCGCGCGAAGTCTTGGATGAAGACCACCATGGCCTAAAAGACGTAAAGGACCGCATCCTCGAGTTCATCGCTGTCGGCAAATTGCGTGGCACTGTTGAAGGCAAGATCCTTTGTTTGGTTGGGCCGCCAGGTGTGGGCAAAACATCCATTGGAAAGTCAATTGCTCGCGCCTTGAATCGCCAGTACTACCGCTTCAGTGTCGGTGGTATGTATGATGTGGCAGAAATCAAAGGTCACCGCAGAACATATGTTGGTGCACTGCCTGGGCGCATTATTCAGGCTCTCAAGAAATGTCAAACTGAGAACCCACTTGTCTTGATTGATGAAGTCGACAAGATTGGCCGGAACAGCAACCATGGTGACCCAGCATCTGCCCTTCTCGAGCTACTTGACCCAGAGCAAAACAACAGCTTCCTAGATCATTACCTGGACGTGCCTGTCGATCTATCCAAAGTCCTTTTTGTGTGCACAGCCAATATGGACGAAACCATCCCGCAACCACTGCTTGACCGTATGGAAGTAATACGACTTTCGGGTTATGTTTCTGACGAGAAGATTGCAATCGCTGAGAAGTACCTGTCTCCTGCGGCCAAGGAAATGAGCGGTTTGAAGGATGCCGACGTTGTGCTTGAGAAAGACGCAATTGTCGAGCTCATCAACAAGTACTGCCGTGAGTCGGGTGTGCGAAATCTCAAGAAGCATATCGAAAAAGTCTACCGAAAGTCTGCTTTGAAGATTGTCACCGATGTGGGCGAGGAAGCTCTTCCAGAAGCCGCAGCTTTGACTGAAGAGGGCAAGGCTGCGCAACAGGAATCAAACAAGAACGAGAACGACCCCAAGGAAACGCCAAAGAACATGGAGGAGCAGACTACCGAAAAGCCCCGCGTGGCTCTCAAGGTACCAGATTCGGTGCATGTCTCAATCACCAAGGACAATCTTAAAGACTACGTTGGCCCACCAATCTTTACTTCTGACCGCCTTTACGACTTTACACCACCTGGTGTAGCCATGGGTCTAGCATGGACCTCTATGGGTGGCTCTGCGCTCTACATTGAGTCTATCCTGCAAAATGCGCTATCCGCTTCGTCGTCACCTGGCCTCGAGCGCAGTGGTTCCCTCCGAGACGTTATGAAGGAGTCGACTGGGGTTGCCTACTCGTTTGCAAAGAGCGTCATGGCTCGCGATTTCCCAAAGAATAAATTCTTCGAACATGCTAGGATACACCTGCACTGCCCCGAGGGCGGTACTCCCAAAGATGGGCCAAGCGCTGGTATCACAATGGCTACCAGCTTGCTCAGCTTAGCCCTCGGCAAAAAGATTAGAGACGACGTTGCCATGACTGGCGAGCTTACTCTTACCGGAAAGGTGCTGAGAATTGGTGGACTACGCGAAAAGACTGTCGCAGCAAGAAGGGCAGGTGCAAAAACCGTGATTTTTCCACACGACAATATGAGTGATTGGCTCGAACTACCAGAGGTACGTGGCACATCTTATCTACGTTAGGAGAGCATGATTGGCTAACTTGCGAACAGAACATCAAAGAAGGCATCGAGGGCCGCCCCGTGTCATGGTACCGGGAAGTTTTCGACATTGTATTCCCCGATCTCGACAAGGAAGCCGCCAACAAGATGTGGGAGAAGGAACTAAAGTCCAAGAAGGGTGATCGCAAGAAGCGCGAGCAAAAGAGGAAAGAGGAGGAGGAGGAAGAGTCTGGCGATGACGACGACTAAGCTGGACTGCTAGATGTAAGATATATATAGTGACCCGGTGAGAATATGGGGTTGCAGCAACGCAAGCGCATTATAGGCGTTTTTAATGATGCTGTTTGGCAAAGCATTGGGCTATGAAGAATATGGGCCAGCTATGATGAATTCGACTGCATCTTGGGTAATGAAGCAATGAATGAAATTCTCTTCTCTACATGAATGCAAAGTGGGCTCCGACTGTTGATTTGTTTCTTGTTTTGTGTAAAAGAGCATGGATGACGTTTTGCTCTGATTTTGCTAGATACACGGACGAGAGAAGAAGAAGAGGAGAAGGCGGGTCGGTCCGTTACCCTGTACATTTCCACAAATATATGTACAAGGCGTACCTTCTTTCTTCTTCTTCTTTGCACAATGCTGTGACCGACAACATGGCTGTTTGCCAACCTCGCGAATCTAGTCTTGGCGAGACGAGGACGATGCGGTTTGGATTTTTGCAACAAATGATTTTACACTATTTTTGCGCGCCAGCCGCCGCACAAGAGACTAGTTGTAGTCATCTTATTCCACACGTAACTACACGTTGTCCGTCTATAGAGCTACCATTGGCTTGATTTGTTCTTGTACTCTCCATCATCGCACAAGCCACATCGGATGTCTATCTGTTTTGGATTTGTGCGTTGGTTCGCACGGCTCCCTTTTGTCTCTTTGTTATGAGAGTGCGTGGCATGCCATGGTGTGGCGTGGCGTGGCGTGGCCCTGCATGCTGCAAGTGTAATGCGTTGCGTGGGCATGAACCATATTGACGTGTCAGGAGGGATGATGCGGACACACGACAGGTAAGCTGACAGACGGGGGGGCAGATTGCACGAGGGAGAGAGTGATGGGGAAGAGACAACGCATACTACTCTGCGAACTAGAGGGCACGAATCAAGGTTGGTAATCTCTCGATCTTTGGTCTCTGGCCGATACGAGGTAGAGGGATGCTGTCATAGGTGCCGGAGATTTGTGCTTGTAGTGATGATGTAGTGCTATGAACGAGGTTGTTGTCATTTTGTTCAGAGGTGAGCTATGAAGAGAGAATTGCACAAATATTTTTTTGTTGGGGCGCAGCGTGGCATATTTATTGCATGTGAATACACGTACATATACTGTACGTATATATATAGGTATATTAAACACTGATAAGGCTACCGAGGAACCCATGCAGCAGGAGACGCCGGTGTAAAAGCTTGTAGTAGTTACTTGAAAGAAAAAAAAAAAGTGAGATGAACACATCCCTGTACCTGCTTTTGCGCAAGCATCCTGAAACTGCCGTTGAGAAGTCTGCTCGCAAGAAGGGAGCCGTCTAGGCACCTTTGGCGAGTTGTCCCGTCTTTCCACGTCCGGTTGACTCGAGGCGCATCGAAAAGGGTTGGCTGTGCGTCCTGTTGGGTGGGGAGCAAGGGCAGTTGCATGCAGAGTTTCCAGTCAGCATCGAGGGACGATTCCGCAAAGACGTCGAGGTGCAGTAGTCTGGCCCTCGTCTCTGCTTGGGCTAATGTATGCAGGCCCGAAAGAGGGGTTTTTGCTGCTATGCCAATGTGAAGGATTAATGAGGGGGCGGGATGGCGCCAGAGGGGCAGTCGTCTGAGAAGGCTCTTCAACGCAGATTCTGGCAGCAGCAGCAGCAGGCTGGTCATATGCATCCAGAGCGAGGAGCCGGAGAGTCAGGGCGTGAGTGACGTTGATGCCAAAAAGCCAAACTGTGTGTCACTCTCACCGCAGGTTGGTGTAGTTGGCTGCCACACGCACGGCAGAGGCCAATCAGGCACCGAGTCGGCGGTACCAGGCGGCTTTTCTTTGCCTCCCCAGCGCTTGATTTGACCAAAATGCACCCGAATTCGGACTTTTGCTGGCTGCCTGTCTGCCTGCGTGCTGCGCATGCTGCAGGCTGGAAAGGGCCCTCTTTTCTTTGCTGTGGCCCAATGGCCGGAACAGGCGCTTGACCGCCAGCTGTCTAACGACAATGACAGCAACCCCCAAAACGGTGCGATGCTGCTGCGCACTTTTGCTGCTGAAATCCGCCCTCACTTTTTTTCCTCGCCGCCCCCTTCGCCCCTTCGCCCCCTCGCCGCCCGCCTCCAGCCTGTCGCCCACGTTGGTGCAACTCTGACTACGGTGGTACCGGTACTGCAGGCTTGTGCGAGGTGCCAATAGACTGGCCCTGGGATATTTGATTTGCTGAGTCGGTCGGGATACGCTAACGTGGTGGTGTTGCTAAGCCGGCTCGACGGAGACAGTCACGCCCTCAGTCCGCATTCATTGGCTGCCACCAGCCCAGCCTTCTGTCGCGCACCCATCCCTACTCACATCAGACTCATCGTCGCACGTCGCATTCATCGCTGCCTGCCCTCCCCTTTCCCGCCCGTCCCCAGCCCCCCGACGATCCACGACTGCTTGTCGGCTTGCCCTCGACACCCCCATTGACCCTCGCCCGTTGCTGGAGATTTCGTCGGCCGTCCGCCTGCCTTTGATTAAGGTTAGGCGCCAACCCGCTCCCTGGCATGTCGCTTGGGCGGCAATAAAACACCCATCCGTCTTTCCTGTCTGTCATTCGCACGTTGGGACTGCCGAGATTGAGTTGCAGAGATCAGCACCACGGAAAGAACAAAAAATAAAACAAGGAAACAAACAAGGGAAAAGAAAAGAAAAAGGCCTAGGCAGTGTGTACAGAGGGGCAAATGCGCCATCGCAGCATCGAGGCACAGCGCAGGAACTAGGTTGGTGGACGCAGGAAGCCACAGTGGCACATGATTGCGACACAGCATGCTGCTGGCGCCAACCCCATAGCACAATCTTAACCCATCCGACCCGACCTGCCAATTTCCCCGCCGCGCGAATAGAAAGACCTGCCACCGCCTGTCTGAGTCACTTGGTCCTCGACACACCGCAAAGGCAACCACCCGACCATCGAACGGCTGGCAACGAGCCGAGACACCGGCCACACGGCGCTGCACAGCGTGGGACGTGTGCTAGAGCCAGTGTGAGAAGAAGATGCCATTGCCATCAGCGGACAATGGCGAGACGAGCAGCAGCCGCAGCAGGCAGAGGGCGCGCGCAGAAGTCAGCAAGCACAGGAGCATGTGGGATCACCTGAGCTTTCAAAAGATTGGCGCCTGGCTGAAGAAGGAGGAGCAGGAACCGCCGCCATCGTCGACCAAAGCCGCGAAGCCCGCCGAAGATAAGAACAAGGAGCCCACACGGCCGCATTCGAGTGCTGGTTTGCTGGGACGCAGAGGCAGCAAAAAGGTGATTCCAGGGCTGCCTAGACCCTTGACGTTCAAGCGGATGCAGAGTGAAAAGAGAGATAAACTGCTCGAGGTCCCTGTTCCGGGCGAACACAGGAGAGCTGCCTCGGTCGACCGCCAAAGCTCAGCGCCCTCAAAACGAGACATTTCGCCACCTCCCCTTTCCGCCCCTTCCATGTCAGCGCCCAACGTCCTGAGTTTGTGTGAAAGCCATGTGAAAGAAGAGCCGCACCCCGCCATGGAAGAGCGTACTATAGGTGGAGGCCCAGATTCGAATCTCCCACCCGGTGCACGTCAGGTTGACTATGGCATCGAGGAGCCCGAAGATTACATGTCTGCAGGCGCCTCTGTTGGAGAACTGATGCTGCCTCCTCCCCCTCCCCCTCCCCAACCATCGCAATCTCCACCGCCACCTCCCGCATCACTACCGCCTCCGCCACCTGTTGAAGCAGTGGATACCTTTTCTGAGCATAGCTCACATCACTCAGGGTCCGTCATTGATGATATTCGGTTGCAGGAAGAGCTGGAAGCAAAATGGATATTGAACCTCAGCATGCACTTCCGGGACATGTCAGACCGCGAAAAGTTCTTTGTGACGTTTGCCGAGGAGCCAAACAGATGGAGAAGGGTCACAGTGTCCTGTGACTACCGAAACATGGAACCGGACTCACTTGAGGCAGATCTCAAGTCTCTCCATTACCAGCGTGACAAGAGTTCGCGTATTTATGAGGCCATCCGCGATTCTCTGCCAGCTATACAGTTCTACGACACCGTGACAAACCTGAAGCTTGAAACGACAGATGGCCGCCTCCATGTTCACGTCACAGAGGACGTAAACGAGATCATTCCGTATCCAGCTGTTTCGGCGATTGTGCATCTGGATTGCAAGCGATTTCGTGAAGACGCAATTGCTTTTGACTCCCACATTTCTGGCTTTGTGTACAAAGTCTCGGTTAACAACCGAACACTGATCAAGAAGGAAATCCCTGGGCCAGACGCGGTCGAAGAATTCCTTTACGAGATCAACGCACTTGTCAGCGTACAAAATTCCAAGTCTGTCATCAGGTTCGAAGGCGTCATTGTCGATCAGCGAAACGAGCTCATCAAGGGACTCTTGATTAGCTATGCCGAACAAGGTGCACTGGTCGATATGATTTACGACTTCAAGACAACAAGTCATCTTTACTGGGAGCGCCGGGAGCGATGGGCACGGCAGATCATTCAGGGTCTTTCCGAAATCCATGAAGCTGGCTTCGTGCAAGGAGATTTTACCCTGTCGAACATTGTCATTGACAATGATGACAATGCCAAAATCATCGATATCAACCGCCGCGGCTGCCCGGTCGGATGGGAGCCACCGGAACTTGCCAAGCTCATTGAGAGTGGACAGCGTATATCGATATACATTGGTGTCAAGTCCGACCTGTTTCAGCTTGGTATGGTGCTGTGGGCATTAGCAGAACAGCAAGATGAACCTGAGCGCCAGCAGCGACCGTTGACCCGCACACTGGATCGACGCGATACCGATATCCCACCATACTTTCGTGACATCATTCGAGCATGCTTGAGCGAGTCACCCCAGTCCAGACCGTCAGCCGCGAACCTACTAAAGCGGTTCCCCGAAAATACCCTAGAAGATTACTTCAAGCCAAGGGCTACTGTGAGAGACAGCATCTCCACGCATAGGAGCGACAAGGAATACATTGATCCTAGGACGGCTGTAGACCTGGAGGATATTTCCAACCACCGTCGCCAGTCGAGGCAACAGTCGTTCTTCGAAGAGGTCCATGTCCCACGCACAGAGTACCCTGAATCGTCCGGCTCCTACGTCATACCCAACGAACGCTCTCAGCGCGGTCGTTCCCCACATCCTCTCAGTATCAGCGACAGAAATAGGCGGAGTGATTGCTCACGCTCACCCTATCCTGGCCATCGATCCGTCATGTCGTTGGATGACTCAGAGCTCGAAAATGAGCTTGCAAGCCTACCAGCTAGCAGGGAAACAAGATGGGAGCAAGTCTACGTGGATGGCGACACCAAGCTTGTTCAACGAGCTTGTGGTGACCTTGACGTGCATGAATTTGCAACACAGGAGCCAAAAGACATCCGCTTTGCGAGTCCACCAGGCGAGATGGAGGATTCGTTCATAGGTAGTAAGACTTCGGAAGAAACCCCACTGGGCTTATCGATGGGAAGTGGGCTCCAGCCTATTGGGTCACAGTCGATGAGAAACAGCCTACAGGGATCGTCTGAAAAAGGACAATCCCACAGTAGCGGCAATGATGCCTCCTTCAGCGAGCGTGTGCACCACCTTGCACAATCATGGCCGCAACCATCATATACACCTCCAGAACCTGCTGAAACTCCAGACTACTATTATGACAGCCAACAACCGCAAAAGCCCGACTCTACCACGCTGGCTGGCCTCGAGTACGATGTTGCCATGGACTCTTCGGCACCCAGTACGGAACCCCCATCGCGGACGAGCACCGGGTTCTCGATATTCGATCGACCAGAACCCCTATCAAGACGAGTGCGAACAGGTCTTTCGGCGTCACAAGGACATCGCATGCCTTTGCATCAAGATTCGGGGTTCGGGGAGCCAGGACGGGGGTCGTTTGAGAGCGAACGGATACGGCATAGCCTTGATGGGAGTATCAAAGACTTGCAGTTTTCATCGGACGAGGAAGCACGAATCGATGAGAGGCTCTGGGATGAGAAGGATGGCACCCTGTTTGGGGAAAGCGTCCGTGGTACCGAATCGGAGATCAACCCTCAGCCGATACCCATCTTCACCACTCCGGCATCGCCCCACAAAGAAGAGAAGCAGGTTGTAACGTCTGTACCTCGGCATTCGATACCAGGCGTTGGACCGAAGGACGTAGTTCGCGTCGCTGATGTTGAAAACAAGGCTTTGGGGGAAAAGACGTCGGATACTACGATCCGTCCGCCGAGCATCACCGCACTAGATTCCCATCAAAGTATTACCAAGCCAGTCGACTCCATGGAGGTTGTATTCAGCGATGTCACATGTACAAACAAGGGTGCAAAGGCGAAAACAGAGACAAAGACGAAGAAGATGACATCCAACACTGGCTCAGCAAAGGACACCATACAACCCCGCACACGAGCTGGAAAATCACACCGCGATCCCCTTGTCAACGATTATCTCTCTGCAACCGAAGACTCCGACAACGATGACAATGATGGTGGTAGGAAAGCGTCAAATGATTTGTCAGACTACCTTTCTCACTCCATTTCCTTTGACCAGTCTATTGATTTTTACATGCGCGAACACGAGAAGACACGGGTCGGTTCGCGAGGACCAAAAGTTTGAAAATTGTTATTAGGATCGTTTTTTTTTACCCCCTCCTCTTCCTGCTTCTATCGAACTCCTCTTCTTCTTCTTCTTTTTACCCCCCAATTTAAAGACCAAATGATCACATTGTATTACTCTGAAGTTATATCTTCCATTCGCTTCTTTTTTCTTGGTCTTTGTTCTTTGATACCTCTTCTGCCCCATGTTCTTCTTTATATTTGATATCACCCGAATTATTCGTCTCACGACATCTTCTTTTCGTCTCGTTTTTTTTCTCTTCCTCTTTCCTTTGCCTAAATAGCTTTTGGTTTAATATACATGCATCTTCGATTCTCTGCTCTTGTCTTTCCTTTTTGTTTCATGTTATCCCTCTTTTTGCTATATCATATGGTACTTTGATGCCTTTTTCATGGATGATGTGTACGATTTCATTTCACCTCATGATGCGGTTAGTATGCTATCTTTTTCTTCTTTTTATATTGTACGGCGTTGAGCGATTCGGTTCTTGTTGGGTTGGGTTTAGAGGCGTTTGGTCGCGGGGATGACGGTCGCTATCCTAGATTGCATTACGTAGCATTTTAGCGAAATTGCATGTTTTTCTTCAAAATCAACCTTTGTTGATCTTGTAAGTGTGTGCGTGTGTTGTGTTCATTTCACGTTGCACGTTCATGAAAGGTAGATTATTGAAATGCCTTCATGTTATAACTTAGGCCACCCATTCGCTAGGGTCATGAAATATTGCATCTGGAGGCGCTTGAAGCTGCTCCTGCAACTCCTCTGCGAAAGCGGGATGGTTTGCATCCCAGTTCGCTTTCCACTCGAGCAATGAATCATAACTGTTGCATTGGTGCTTATTAGAGAATCTAATAGAGCTGTTGTGCGATCCAGTCCATTCGGTTGGTATTACCCCTATATCAGCTGCACACATCAAGGTCTCGCGAACATTGTCTAGGCAATGATCTGATGGGATAAGTTAGTACTGTTATATTACAAGACCATTATCCGTTGAGCTTAAAACCACATACTAATATGGCTTATGCGGAACCACTCCGGCACGAGGTTATCATCCTCGTACTGGCGGTAGTAGGGTTTATTGAAGTAGAGGGCTTTTCGGAGCTCATCCTATCGCGCCTTAGCAATCCTTTGATAGCGTAGAAGACAGTGCTATACTTACTAAACAATGCAGGTCGTGGAAGGCTTGAACAAACACGATAAATCCTTCTAGGTCGGGATCGCTGCGATATGTTCCTTTTGGGAAATATTTTTGCTCTCTAGGATCAAGACCATGATCTACACCCACTGCCTTTGGAACGAGAAATCCAATATCGCGAACTCCTAATTCTAGCCAAGCTCTGTCTACTGAGGGACTTGGCGGAGCTGACCATCTACTTGTTCCATTAACCCGATGCTCGCTGAATTGGGTTAGGATGTGGGATCTGTCAAGTTCAGGATAAACTCTTTCCACTTAAAAGTGTCAGTTTTGGTATATTTCGAGGGCATGTAAACACGTACTTCTAGGTAAGTCTAAGGAATAGGATAGGTAGCTCTGGGATTTTGTGTATCTTGCGGTAAAAACAATTGAAAGTAGATTCGTAACAATAATAGCGCATACGGCTACTAGCCATGATTGTTTTCTGAAGCGTGACGACTTCTTTGATACTTCTTCTTGGTGTAGGAGAGCAAATTTCTCGCCTTGCTCTGCGATATCTGGCAAATCATCGGAGATGGTTGACATAGTGTTAATCAATAAAGGGTGTCCGGCCGCAAGTTGCGCATAATCTCTTAAATAGCAAAAACTTTGAAATGTGAGAGATTGTTTGTAGAAAGTGAGAAGTTGAGATTGAAGAGAATCGAGTCCAACCGTAGTAGCAACGATGCCAAGCCGTCTCGTCATGAGACTTGGTGTGATGATGATGCCAATGGTATACTACAGCTCAGTTAGGCATAAACATGGCTTGGAATGCGGATACCTCGTATTGACTGACGCGGCGTGTATGCCCTACGAACAAGTGAAACGCCTTGGCTAACCGATCTACAATCGATACCGCGTTATGTAGCGCACGTTTGGTACACACACAATTTATTTACGCCCGGCGGCCGAGCCGAAAGAGCTACTAACGCTAGTCTAGCTTTACACTTCCTACGCTACGTCTTAGTCTCCTTAGCCTATATGTCTTCTTTAGCCTACTTCTTTATATAGCTTATTATCTAAATCAGAGCCCTTACTTAATACCTTAGCACGCCTCTTCTCTATCTACAATCGCTCCTCATCAAGTACTCGTAGGTTAGTATTGCTAGTAGCAGACTAGCTTAGAGTTAGTATCTCTACGAGATTCTCTAAGTATTCAACGTCTTATCTTCAGCAGCTAAAGCGCTGTCTGCTATTAGTTACACGAGGCTGCTAATAAGTTCATATTAGTATCTATAGTTTACCTAGCAGTTAGTTAGACACTAGTTTGTATCAAGTCTTCGTATTACTATTACGAATCGTATCGTCGCTCGCACTACGTCTATATCTAGCGCCCACTTCGCGTCATCTATCGCTGCTTTGCCGCCTAAGTAGAATAACATATTTCCTCTGCTTATCTGCGTGCACTACAGCATCTCTATCCGCTATATCGTCTACTTTCAGCAGTAGAATAGAAAATACTCTACCATCTCTACTACCTAGCCGCATTTATATTAGTCTGTTGTTAATACTTTAATTTAGTATCGATACGTATTTAGCTATACTATACCTATTCTAAGCTAGGTAAGTACGCTACTCTCTTTCTATAAAAGCCTATTGTAGAGTTATCGCGTATACTTTCCTAGTAGTGCTATATTAATTCGTTTAGAATATACTCCTACGTCTACTAGTATCTTCTTAGCTATACCTTACTTACGTGCTATATTATATATAGTTAATCGCATTATAGGGAGCTGTGTCTATAGCTTAGTATTTAGTCTAGTTACTATCTTCGCCTCTCGCTTAGCGAGGCTTATAAGCTTATTCTCTTCGCTTATAGGTAGCTATAGCACTATTACTATATTTCTATCTCTTCTTAGTGTTTATATAGTCTTATAGAACTAGCTAATATAGCTTTACCTAGATTGCTGCCGCAGTCTTCTAAGTATAAGCACTACTACTTTATTCCTTATTATTAGTACAATATTACGAAACCTTAGCTTTAGTAACCTGCTTAACGCTTTAGCTATTACTACTAGCTCTACTAAGTATAGGTTCTATTCCTCTCTCTTACCTAAAGTAATAGAGAAAGATTGTCTTTTATTCTTCTATATACTAATCGCGCCTCCTATACCAACTACTCTATTCTGCGCTAAGCTACTTATAGTGATACGTACTACTTAGTTCGCCTCGAGGCTCTATACCACGTTCTCTACTACTATCTACACTCTCTTCTCCTATAGTGCTAGAACGCCTAGTTAGATTGTCTCTATCTACTCTATATCTATATCTTTAAGCGCTTCTACTACTTGGAATAGCGGCGAGCGGTACTATCTTCTAAACTTTTATATCCGCGATATATTTCTTCGTAGCGGGTTCGTCTTAGGTAGCGCGTAGATATTAGTCTATAGCTTAACTACCCGCTTCTAGAACCGCTCTTATATACTTAGGATGTGCGCCTTTGCCTCTGCTACCTATGTTACTACTGTGCTAAACGTCCCTACGATCGCTTATACACCTATTCTTTACACCCTATTAATAGGTCTTACTAGCTTGTCTTTATAGGTATGCATCTATACGTTCGACGCATAGTCTACTATTAACGCGACTGTAGCTATAAACAGCTATCGCGCTACTCTAGGTAAGAGTCCTTATAGCCTCCTAAGTTCTAATACTACTTCTAGTCCCTTTGCGGCTGCTCTTATAATATACTTATAGTACTTAAGCCTAGCGTCTATAAGTACGCTAAGTATCTTAATATAGTCCTTAGGTGAGACGCTCTACCTCTTAATAATAAAGGGCTTTGTGGCACTCTTGTACGTCCTATAAGTAAAGTGGATAATAGCTGTCTTTTCTACTTTAAACGTCGCTCTACTTCTCTGTTCCTAGTCTAGTGCCTCTTAGATAATAGTATTAATACCCTCCCTATTGCTTTGCGCCGTCGGGCTGGTAACTCACATAGTGAAGTTATTAACGAACGCTATTACGCCTCTATACGTATTAATAGGTCGCTGTATGAGATTGGCGTTAAAGAAGAGAAATAAAATTAGCAATAACGGAGACCTTTGTGGTAGCTTTGCTTATAGTAGTTCTTAGGCCTTAGAAGCCTATTCGTTAACCTAAATTAACGCAGTGCGCTCTAAGCAGAATGCTTCTACCTACTTTAGCAGCTTCTATAGTATGCCTCGTGCTTTTATCCTCTATAGTAGTCTTTCCTTACACACTCTATTGTACGCTCCTTTAACATCGAAGCTAATTAGACTAATAGTCTGCTAGCCCCGCCACGCGGTATAAATCTGTTCTTAGAGTAATACTAATACTTACTTAGCTAATCGCTACTTGCGCGCTCTAAAGTGGTTGGTGGGTAGAAGCCTATATGTCTCTACTATGTGCGAGATCCTCTCTACTACTACTAACTCTAGCACTTTACCTAGAGTAGCCAATAGTGAGATTGGCCTCTACGCCTTTATAATAGTGTAGTCTTCCTTACCTAGCTTCTTAAGCAGTATAATCTTAGCGTGTCTCTATTAGCTAGGTAACACTCCCTCCTCTAGCAACTATCGGAATAGCGTAAGTACATAGTCTTTTACTACCAGCTAGACCTACTTCTATATAATAACTAGTAGTCTATCGTCTCTAGGTACTTTCTATAACTTAGCGGCGTATAGCTGTCTTTCTACCTCCTTAAGCGTAATAGTTAGCATTACTACAGGTGCTCTCTATAGCCTAGCTCCCTCGTCATTAATACTACTAGGAAGCGGAGGGAAAAAGGTATTAAGTAACTCCTCTACTTATTCTTCAAAGTTGCTTATAGTTGTCCTATCTATTCTATAAAGTGCTAGAACTGTCTTAAACGCCTCGTTGCCTGCCTTTAGATACTTAGCCACGTTCTAGATGTTGTTATTGTCCGCTAGAAAGTTATCCTAGTGCTTTCTCTTTTGTTATTAAATAGTATTATAGTACTGCTTCGACGCTCCTTTTGCCATCTCTTCTAGGTCTAGCTAAGTAACCCCTATTCGCCTTGCGGCTCTCGCTTGGTTCCTCTAGTGCGTATAGATGCGGCGTAGCTATATTAGGTTCTGCGCCTACTACCTCTTTACGTATAGTAATAGTTTAGCCCTAGGTGTTAGTGTATACACCGCCTCCAGCACCACTACTATTAGTCTGTCGGTCCTCTACTGCATCGTGCCCACTAGTAGGGTCCCGCTGAGCGCTCTAGCGATCCTATCGTTAATTGCTTTCTATAGCGCGTTCTTAAGTAGAAGCCGCTCTTATTACTATACTACTAGCATGGAGCTGTTAAAGACTGTTTCGATTATTTAGTAGTTAGAGCCGTGCTTAGTATTATAGGCGGCGTATCTTAGTACCGTATCTACCAGCTCTTTTAACGCTAGCACTAAGTTAATTATCGTCTTATACTCTCCGCACTACTATATCTTAGTACCGCGCGGGAGTAGGCTGCTAAGCGCGTGTTCCGTTATTAGATTGATAATCGGGTCTACCTCGCCCTATCTAACTAGCGTTACATCCTCTCCTCCCTATAGCTAGTTATGCTAATTGAAGTTGCTAGCTAGCACGACGTCTACTACTATACTGGCCCTTCGTCTCGTCTCTGTAATTACTCTATTTATCTTTTTGCATGCGTCTCGTAATACCTGTGGGTCTCCTCCTAGTATGTATATTAATACTACTAGAACCTAACGCTCGTGTAGCTAGATGATCGCTACTGTTAGGTCTAGCGACTCTACCCGTACCTATTCCGCTTCTACCTCTCTATTTACCCACAGTATGCTTTGTATTAGCCACCTTCCTTCTCGCTATATTAATAGCACTATCTTAGTCCACTTGTAGTAGAGTATAGGCGTCGTTAGCAGCCGACCCTAGATCCTCTGTGCATACAGCTCCTAGATAGCTACTACTACTACGTCTTGCAGCTCTTCGTCGTTCATTAAGCTATCGTGTACTTCGCCTTACTTTCTTATATTAAGCTAGATTATACAGAATGCTCTATTTATATTAAGGTAGGTATAGCATCTAATAGTTTCTGCTAAATAACTCGTGCGGTCCTCTATATAATACGCACTTTATTACTACTTCACTACAGCTCTTATAGTAGTAGCCTTCTTTAGCGTATCTCTTATATCTCTGCGCCTTTCAGCACTAAAACGCTTTATAGCCGAGCTCCTAGCAGTTATAGTATTATCCTAGCCATAGTCGCTGCTTAAATACGCTTATTATACTAGACTCTCTACCCGCGTGGAAAAAGCCTTCTATGATAAGTCTCCTTGCGTCGCTTTTCTTAGTTATATACACTACTATAGATCTATACGCCTTAGGGACGTCTCTCTTACTAAGCTACGCAATCTTAGCGACTATCGTTCCATTCTCTTCTCTAAAAGCTTCTACTACTCCTGCTCTAAGCTTATCTTTCTTGTCTAACACTGCTATCCTCTTAACGTTGTTAATCTTAACTAGGTAAAGCTTATCGCGTAGTACGCGCGAGCCTACGCCAATCTACTTTACTACTTTCTTCACTAACTAGTGCTCGTCTTCATCTCTACACGCGATCCTGATCTAGTTCTAGGTCGCATAGTTGATAGTAACCGCTCGGCATCGCTAGTTTTCTTAATTCTCTATTGTGCGTATCTCTTTTTTAACGGCTGCTCTAACTGATCCTACCAATAATCTATTATTTTCGCTATCTACCCTAAAGATGTCTATAGTAACGCTGGGCACGTCGATAGAAGCGAGGTTAGTTCTAGTAGTGTGCTGCTGGCTTGCTAGCGGCACGGCTATAGCGTTTAGTCCTACGGGTGCGCTTATAGACGCTACCTCAGCCTAGGTACGCGTACTAGAGCTTGTTGCTACGAGGTCATCAACGCGTGTCTTTAGCTCAGCGATCTCGTCAATAAGTTTCATATTATAGTCGATAATCGCTTGCTGGTTCTTTCTAATCTCTCTTGTTTCGCGCTCAAGGTTCTAGATCGTTTCATTCTGCTGCTGGATGATCTTAGTTAACGCGGTAAGTAGGTCTTTGTTGGTGGCGGTGCTCTTCCTGGCTTGACGGATGGGTTGGCTGCTTTCAATCTGGATAGTGTCGGAGTCGTCGGCTGATAGGTCTAGCTGTAATGGTCGCCTGCGGTAGTGTTCGTTTTGCTCGATAGTGTTTCTTGCGCGCCTCTTTAGTGGTGCTGGTAGCTCGGTTGGCAGGGATGTCGCTTCGCGGTCGCGGTCGCGGTCGCGTTCAGGGGTCGAGATTGCCATCTCTCCCACTCGTCCAGATCGCAAACTCCTGGGCATATACAGTAGCGTCGATTATGATTTGTTTCCGGTACTCCTTAGTGAACTACCACTTCCTATACACTCGCTTTGTTGTCTAGTCGGTGATCGCTTCTGATACAGTGATTCACGTTTGGTACACTCAGCACTATAATCGGCAGGAGGTAATTAGTAGGGCCGATGCAGCGAAAATCTCAGGATCACGAAAGAAAAGTAACCATGAACGAAATCTCAATCGTTACATTACTACGTCAAAAGCTTTTGAAACATGGTGGTTTAATAAATAACATAAGTTCTGGAGGTGGTAGTTTCTTAATGAAGCTATAAGATCCAGTAGATGTTATACTTGCGTAAATTGGACTGCCAAGTGAATCTAATTGTTGCGGAGTTTTAGTAGTGCCGAGAGTATGGTAGTAGCGTAGTTCTATGCCTATCCACCTGTGCAGCTTCTTTGGGAAAGATTAGCGTGAATACGGGATAGTGGTAGGATACTGACGTCTTGTATTACAGGGTCGTAGGCAACCCCTCGTTGTATCATCAATAGTGATAATAGCAGCATGCACATGCTAACGTGTACCAATTTGTGACAAAGATCCCTAGGTCCTAGAACTGACCAATCACCTTATTGAAATCACAGACTTCTGCCCTAAACTTGCAAGCTGATTCGTTGATTCTGGTACGCAGGGATATCCGTAACGGAGAGATACACGGTATATAGTAGGACGACGATAATAGCGGCGATAGAACCGCGGTGTGGTTTCGAACTTAGATCGGATTGAATTCTTGGCAGTTCACCTCTACCCCTGAACACAATTGCATTAAGAGTAGCGGCATTTACATTGCAAGAACAGATATATAAAAAGATGTCCCGTAACCAAATAACTCTCTACCCACTATTTTTTTACGACCAAAACTTAAGTATATCTCACCATGCGTCTATCTACCCTCTTTACTTTCACCGGTCTCTTGGCTTTGTCAGTGGCCATGCCCACTCAGCCATTGACTAGTAGGACTGAAGCTGTGGATTCCAACATCCCGATCAAACGTCAATACAGCGCTGGCAACAGCCGTCCTCAAGCGGCAGATGTCGACAACATCCCAACCAAGCGCCAGTACAGCGCCGGAAACAGCCGCCCTCAAGCAGCGGACGCGGATAATATTCCGACCAAGCGCCAATACAGCGCTGGCAACAGTCGTCCTCAAGCAGCAGACGCGGACAACATCCCAACTATTTAGGGTATCGATCTTGTAAGTGTGTGAGAGAGTTGTCTTGATATCTCATTATGTGTTCATGGAAAGTAGCTAAGTTATCTTCTCCATTACAGACGCGGCCTCTTCGGATCTACCTAGCTTTTGTAGAATCGCAACATATATTTCCAAGCAATTCTGCGTTGTGGGGTGCTCTTTGCCCAATGCCTTTACCGCCAGCCCTAGTGTTTCTAGGAACATTTGTTCTATCTCCTCGTATTTGCACGTATCCAGTAGCACTCGTGCTAGATTACCCATTCCAGTCAGAGTAATTGGGTGCTCCTTGCCAAAGGTTTTCTTTGCTAGCGCTAGTGAATCTCGACAAATCTGTTCCGCCTCTTCGTACCTATCTAATTCCCACAGTAACTTTGCTAGGCTGTTCATAGTGCCTATAGTGTGTGGGTGCTCCTTTCCAAAGACTTTGTTCGTTATCGCTAGGATTTCTTGGAATATCTGCTCCGCCTCTTCATTCTTGTCTAGATCAGAGAACAATGACCCTAGGTTGCCCAAAGTATGTATAGTGTCTTCATGCTCCTTTCCAAAGTCCTTTTCGTTCAATGCTAGGATCAGTCGATATTCCTTCTCTGCCTCTTCGACATAGCCCTGGTACCTTAGCGTAGTTGCTAGGTCATTTCTTACTCTTCTTGCCCATAGATTCTCTTGGCCGCCGCAAGTCTTTTCATTTAGCACTATTGCCTCTCTAAAGGTCGCTTCTGCTTCTCTGTATCGACATCGATTCAATATTGCTATTCCCAGCAAACCCTTGTTATTTGCAGTGCCTGGATTCTCTTCACCAAATAAACTGACTGCTCTAACCAGCATCTGACGGTATGTTCCCTCCGCCGCCCTGTAGCGTCCCAGCATCAATTCACATCCTCCTACCCGCTCAAGAAGCTCCAATCCTATATCTTGCTCGAAGATTTCAGGTACACCCATGACATATTTGGCATGAGGCAAGTATGGCGTCCACATTTCTCTGGTTCTGTAATCTCCATTCGGCACAATCTCTTCCAATCTGTCAATAGTCCTTTTCACCTACACGAGCCACTGATTCTGTGATTTCAACCAGCCCCGCATTGCCAAGTGCACTAGTGGATGAATATTGAATGATCTCTTCAGCATTTGCGTCTGCTCTTGCTGAAATGCGTGCTCATCCCGTATAAACCTTCGCTCAGTAATGAAAGCGTATGCTTTTAGGGTTCCAATGGCCTTCGTTTGTTTTAGCTGTGATTCTTCGACCGGCAGCATTGACTCTGGTATATCGTTATTTGCTGTACATGCCATGAATGACAGGTATTCGGCTGCTAGTTCATCGCGAGACGTGATTTGGTCGAATGAAATGTACCAAGTTGTTGCGATCGGATTTTTCATTTCTTGGTACCTTCCTTGGTCTTGGAACTCTTCACTGAGAAGCTGAGTCGCCTGTTGCTCACTCGCTCGATACAGCTGTATATATTCGGAGAGCTGGATGTCGTTCTGGTTGATGAATGCTGCCGCCTGGACGATTGCGAGGGCGAGGCAAGTGAGCATATCGAGAAATTCATCAGCGATTACCTCATCCTCGACCAGGTGTTGGTACTTTTCGAACAGGCGTGTTCTCAAGACCTCCTTAGCATCTTCCCTGTCGAACATGCCTAGCTCTATGACGTTGTTTGCAGCTAAGTTGTGTGCGGCCTTTACAACTCGGGTGGTAAAAATGAGAGAGCCTTTTTGGCTGTATGGAAGATAGTCGATCAGCCGATCCCCGTCTTTCCCTCCTTTAAGTGGGCTAAAGAGTATACTGTCGTCATCTGCATTGTCAACAATCACCAGCCACTGCCCAAAACTTTCGTCGCTCAGCCTTGCCTTTACAAGTGTCTTGACATCGGCCTTAGCATCCGTGATGTCAGGTATGCGAAGGAGCAGTCCTATCTCTCGGTATGCCTGTTCAAAGTCTGCTTGGCTGATCGCAGGCACCCAGAACACAGCACGCTGAGGCTGCTGCTCCCGCGTTCGATAAGCTATCTCAAGAGCGAGAGCTGTCTTCCCGCAACCACCAAGGCCGTATACAGCATATCGACAGCAACCTTCCGAGAGTATGTGGGCATTGAGTAGGGCAAGCTGTTTCCCGCGACCAACAAAGGTCTGTGGCCTAGGTAGTGGAACAAGCCATGGCTCTGTAATGGGCGAGCATGGTGCACGTGGGTCGTATTAACAGTTCAACGTTGTATTTCCATGTTCCTACTTGACTATTCACATCAAACAGATCTGCTACTGAGCTTCAGGTTGCCCTTTCATGTCTTTGACTGTGGCTGGCTGGATTCTGCATAACAGCTCCCTAGTGAACGCAGCCGCATTACCAGCTGCATGCGCTCTCCACAAGTCATTTTTGTGCGAATCTGCGTAATTAGAGATGCCACGGACAACAAGGCATCGTCTGCTCGCATCAACACCTGCCGCTTCCATTTCCACACAAAGCGCTCCATTGCATCGCGCTCTAATCTTGTCACGTAGCTCGGCGTCCTGGATAACTGCGTTACCAGTAGCAATCCTCCCTTGGTGAAAGACTAGCGTTTCCAGGTTCTCCTCGGTTCGTTGGGGGCGTTCAACCAGTTTGCTTGCATCGCAATCTTTGCATCCAGATCCGTAGCTGCCAACATGGTGATGTTCAGCCCTGAAGAGTTTATCATTCTCGAGGCCCGGATGGGCAAATTTCTTCGCTCGCTTCGTGCGCTGCAACCTCCGAAGTTGGACCTCGAAAGTAGTTTTTCCCATTTCGTGATCGCTAGCAAGGATGCTGAGTGCTTGGGTAAGTCTCCAATCTGGGTTTTGTATTGTGCCCACCATATGAAATTCTCCGTCAACTTTAGCTTTACCTCTCTCGTGGTATACACACGCTGGTCCGTCGTCACCAGGCCATCCCACAACCACATCTCCAAGGTGAATATCATCCAGAGGTTCGTCAGGGACTTCTTCGCGGGGGATACCACCGCCAACACCCACGAGCACCGCCATGCGAATATTAGGGAATGTCTTGAACATAGGCCCCGTTAAGCGCCCAGCGTTGACATTACCTGTCCCTCCCTGTGGGCAAGTCGCAACAACGACTGCGTGTCCACTAATAGTACCGCATAAGTAAGTATTTTCATCATAGTGGGTATCGTAAGGCGGTGTTGGGTGCTCTTCGTCAAGCATCAGCCTTGCAGGCAAAAGCTCGAGGTCGGCGACGGGGCATATCCAAGCGACATGGTAATCTGCGCAGCTGGCGGGCGTACTGCCAGACATCACTGGTGAAGGTATGACTTGAGTTGAAAGGAAGGCGGTACTATGTTAAAGAGACGTGTTGTTTCAGCGAAGATGAATGTGTATAGCAAGGCAATGTTGCTTCAGCCTTGTCGCATTGATTCTGCATGATCGACCTATTTCAGCCTATTGCATTAGAGTAGTGTCTCAGCCTTCAACGCAGGATCGTGCGCCGCATACTACTAGCTGCGCCACATGTTATTCTGTTCGTTGGTTACTCCGGGCGCTTCTATCGCAAATCATAGCCAAAGTAGTGATTAGGCTTGGGATTAGTATGCATGAAGGATCAAAGCCCTGCTTCCTAGGCTTCTGAAATATCTAAGTGATTTTTCCTTCCTGTAGCTTCTACCTGTTCACACCCATCTTTACTCCAACATGGCCCAGTTACCCGTCCACAACGTGCCTCAAGGTCTAACAAGCAGAACGCACGACATGTTTCTCAATGCATGGACAGCCAGCACCGCCGACAAAAATACTACGTTGCACAGCTTCCGTCGATTTAAAACTGCGCATCTACTAAATTTGCGTTTCCTAGAAGATGAAATTGCCCAAATGGACTATGATCTGTACCAAGCAGGTTTCAGCCTCGAACTGCCCATCTCTTCGTGCGATAGGCTTGGTCTCAAGCATGGCAGCAGAGATCCTAAATTTACCACGATCGACCAAGTAATCACTCGAAAATTTATTAAAAAGCTCCGCAGTCTTTTGCAAGAATATGGTACATACACACCCTCCAAACTACACATCAAATACCCCCGCTAACACGAAATTCGGATGCAAAAAGACGGAGCCCTCGATGCCTTCAACAAAATCATGATGATGGAAACAATTTCCTTGCTCGACGACGAGATACTCTCCGATCAGCGTACGGACATCGGCCTAGAAGGGAAGTACAAGACGAGAATGATACGAGTAGATCTCGGAACGCGAGCGCGCACCGATCCGTTCCAGCGCTGGCTCCACAAGGCCCTGCGCCTCTTCAGGTTATGGAAGCTGTCGAGAAAATCCCAGGACACCACCGAAGAACTGGGCACCACTAAAGAACCGGACAAAAGTTGGATCAAGCGTTTCTACGACCGTTACGGCCAACGGTTGTACCCAGATAGTACCATTTTTATAGCCGAGATCACCGGGCGTCTACTCACTGCAGCATTTACAGCCGTGTTTCTCATTGCTCCTTTGGTTATTCTATCGCACGAGCCATCTAAAAACGTTCAGTTGGCGATTATTGCGGCGTGGATACTGGTGCTGTCATTTCTCGTGTCGCTCTTCCTCAAAGTGACCAGTTTCGAAATGATGGCTGTGGCAGCAGCTTACGCTGCTATTCTATCTGTTTTCGTATCCAACGCACCTGCAGATAACAGGACGAGTGTAGGCTAGTTACCACGAGGACGCTGCACATGTACAATAGGCGTGTATATTTCAGTTAGATACTTCCAGGGCTACCTCTTCTTCCAAGCAAAAGTAATATCGCAAACCCCCCCTATTTCAATCAGCAGATACAAATCCACTAGCACAAGCGAAGCTGCAAGGAATAGAGCGTTATGAGAATAAAGTTTGTTTATTCGAAAAAAAAATAAGAAAACTCGAGTCAGGATGATTGCACTCGGTCAACTACGCTACACTAATAATTCTCTAAGCACGCTTTCCCGTCTAACCGAGCATGGGGGACAACACTAAACAGTCCTGTGCTATAATCACACATACACACACACACAAACCTACTTCTCTGCTTCATCGACTCCCATCTCGCTTCACCTCCCATATACCAAGTACACACAAAAGAAAAAATGGGGGCCGGACGTTTAGAAAGCGAGAGCCTTCATGCCGCGCTTAACGGGCATGTTGGCGAGGTTGGCACGGCGCAGACGTGGAGAAGTGAGGAAGCCGACTGGTAGCTTGATGGTTGCTTCGCCGGCCGCTTCTTGTTGCTGTTCCTGCGCGGCGGGCGCTTCGGTGGGCGCTTCGGCGGGCGCTTCAGCAGGTGTCTCAGCGGGGGCGGAGGCTTCGGCTTCACTCTTGTTGTCTTGTGCAGCGTCCTCAGCGGGCTTCTCAGCGGGCTTTTCAGCTTGAGCAGCCTGGTCAGCCTCCTCTTGCTTCTTCTTTTCCTCCTCGGCGGCCTTCTTGTCAGCTTCCTCCTGCTTCTTCTGTTCCTCTGCAGCCTTCTTCTCCTCTTCCTGAGCAGCCTTGTCGGCCTCTTCCTTGGCCTTCTTCTCTTCCTCGGCCTTCTTCTTCTCCTCTTCAGCTGCCTTCTTCTGCTCCTCTTCGGCTGCTTTCTTCTGCTCCTCTTCGGCCTTCTTCTTCTCTTCCTCGGCAGCGCCGGTTTCAGCAGGCGCTGCAGGAGTGCTCATGGCCGGGGAAGCAGTCATGTTGGCAGCACCAGTAGCCTCTGCAGCCTGATCCATAATCAGAGAGAAGCTTTCGGTGACCTCAGCAGCAGGGGGAGCAGATGACGTAGGCGGTGCAGCTTCACTACCATTCATACCACCAGCGGCTGGGGGCATCTCAGCAGCAGGAGGTGGAGATGGCATTTCAGCGGGAGCATGAGGCATCTTGGCAGGAGGAGTCATCTCAGCAGCAGGAGGCATCTCAGCAGCAGGTGGAGGTGCCATTGTATGAGCAGCAGGTGGTGGTGGCATCTCCGCAGCAGGAGGTGGAGGGGGTGCCATTGTGTGAGCAGGGGGTGGGGGTGGCATCTCGGCGGGAGGAGGTGGTGGTGACATCTCGGCAGCGGGAGGAGGGGGCATAACATGTGTAGGGGCTGGGGCAGGAGTTTCGTGGGGCATGGCAGCAGGTGGTGGTGGAGGTGGAGGAAGAGTGGCAGCTGGAGCCTCTGTCTTCATGGCCATGGAGATGCTGGCCAATTCTCGTGAGACGTGCATAGCTTCCATGGCATCAGCTGATGCCTTGTGGGCAGCGTCCTTTGCTTTCTCCGATGCAACGTGCATGGATTCCATGGCTGCTGCAGCTTCCTGGTGTGCCTTTTCCTTTGCTTCGGCTTCTGCTTGGTGCATAGCCTCCATCTGCTTAGCGGCCTCTTGGTGGGCCTTCTCCTTCGCCTCTGCCTCTGCCTGGTGCATGGCCTCCATCTGCTTAGCAGCCTCTTGATGAGCTTTTTCTTTGGCCTCCGCTTGAGCTGCATGCATTGATTCCATAGCATCCGCAGCAGCTTTGCCAGGATCAACTCCTGCTGGGGGTGCTGGTGCAGCCTCTGCAGGCATTTGGGTGCGCGCGACGACGCGGGTAGGCTTGAGGTTTGCGTCCGGGAGCAGCTGTACGTTCCTTGGTAGAGGACCGGCGGCTACGGCCGCAGCCGAAAGGAGAGTGAGTAGTGGGTAAATAGTCTTCATTATGAATGGTCGATTTCTTTTTTTGTTTCCCTGAAAGGACTGGATGCGGATCACCGGGTGTCTGTGTATTACAATGGTAAAATGAAGGAATGAAGAGCACAGCTCAACAATGATTAAAATATGAGTGCTCGGCACTGTTGAAAAGAAGGTAAGGGACTTGAAGACGGCGTTGATGAAGGAGATGACAAAATCTACAAGGCGCCGGGCCTTTCGTGTTATATGTACTTTGGGCTGTTGCAAAGGAACAAGGCCGAATCGGAACATCCATCTGGGAGCAAAAACATTACGTGGAGCCAGTGTAAACTTGCAAGTGTTTGATCTCGGTCTCCTGGCCGCATTCTCTGCATAGCCATGATGCCTTGAGGCACCAGGGCGACCAGACAAGGCAACCGAAAGGTAATCTCCCCACTCTTCTCCAACATGTACAGCTGCCACTCTGCCGTCTAGCCGCAAGTGATGGTGCTTGGCACGAACCTGCTAGGGTAAAACCCATGTGCTCAATGAGGCCTTGGGCGACGAGGCCCAATCAGAGGCGTTAGATACCAGCCACCATGCCAAGAGCGCGACTTCAGCGGTGGAAGTCTTGGCCTGACAGGAACTGTCGGAGAATACGTAGCAAGTCCAGATGCAGGAATATTGCAGTGTTGAGGCTCTGTTGGTCGATGCCATAAGGCCTATGCGCGTTAGGGATGTGAGGCGAATAAGGTTTCAACGTTCCAGAACGAGCAACGGCCCGCATGTCCTGACAGCCTCGAACCCCAGGCCCAAGCCATCGTCCCTGCCAGAGGCCGATGTTGATGTCAGTGGTTCTAGCTCTTGGAGGTTCCTGAGGGTCTCCCAGGTCCCTGTTCGTGTTTGCAAAACCTGTTGTAGCAAAGTGCCTGGTTTCAGCGCACGCCACGCCGCCGGTTGCGACCTCATCCGAAGTCAGGCAGTGGGATACAAGCGAATGAAGTTTTTTTTTCTTTTCTCGGTGGTCGGCATGCGTTGCCGGAGGAGCTGATGAGATCGAGGAAGCAGAGACCAGGTTGTTGTGATGCTGGCGCGATGCGATGATAGCAAGCTGTAACTGCCTAGTATACCACAGAGCAAAGAGGAGCAGGTCAGGCAACCTTGCTCATTTCTCCCATGAAGAAGTAACCAAATCTTTCATGGCGATTACACAGAACCATCGCTCGAGACAAAACGGCATTTTGAAGATGTCGCGCAATATTCTCCGCATGCGATGGCGATCGAGGATCCTCAGTCCGAGGGCACGGGCCTTGTGCAGCCGTTGGGGCCAGACCTACGTACTAGTACTACCAATCATCGCATACTCGGCCTCGGAATTCATATTCGCAACAAGGGTAGCACAAAATCTGTCCTGGAACCGCTCGTTTTAGCCCTTGGAAATCACGGTAAAGCATAAAGTTTTATTTCTTCGGGAACAACCCATAATCATGCGTGGCGGTATGTCCACCTTCTACTTATGCTCGCGACCAGGCCTGTCCTTTGTCAAACAATGTGGGAAATCTCGGTATGAGGAGTCAAACGCACCCAATGCACCCAAAAATAAGGTTTGCGCCCGTCTGATTGGATGGCCGTCTTCATGCCTTCAAAGAGTTTTACCATGCCAATGCCAGTAAGACCGTTCTTAAATGGCTCTAGTCTGAGTTGTAGTCCTCCCCAAGTCGACCCATCTAGTCTTTTAAGAAGGGTAGCAAACATATACCGCATTTATGGAACGTAGAATGATCGGTGAAGAATTATTGTTTCTTCTGTTCAACGCGGATGTTGGAACCAGCAATGCTCTTGCGGAGCCACAATAGTTTGGCAAACGTATTCGCAAAGCATGAAACCTTACAACTCTAACTCTCGAGAGGTCTCGCTATATTATTCCAGCCTTGAGTATATCGGAAGCGGAGTTGTTTCCTAGACGTCCTTAGACGAGAAGGCACCCATCGTCTAACAGTTAGTGTTACCCAAAGATGGGACAGAGGTTTCGGTACAAAAAGGTAGTGTGGTGGATACCTCAAACAAACTCAAAGGTCTGCTGACTATCGTCCGTCAAGTATCCGTCTCTGAATAGCTCTCCATCCATCAACCCAAAGATGAAGCCACCGCCAACGACTTGATGACGGCCACCTGACGGCCGTACGATAGTGGGGTATGGGCATCCCGCGACAATGCAGATATCGTCCGCTACCAAAACACCACGGGTTGCAAAGCCTATGTAGCCCTTCTCCGTGACTATTAAGCTTTTACTATAGGCCCAGCCCCTGATCCTTCGCCTCATAGGCTCAAGGTTGACGCATTTTGAAGGAATTTTCCATTCTATATCTGCTTGGAAAGTGTCAGGGTATGATTCAGATCCCCAAAAAGGCGCCATACGTTGTTGTGGGGTCATTGCAAGGAAAGCACTATGGTCTTTAGCGTCCTTGTATGGCTCAAGCAGATGATCGATGGCTCCGGTAACTGCCGCAAATCGCAAGCTCATCGAGATTTCGTCTGGAACAGATTCAAAGAGGGCCATGAGATTGTTTTGTTCAACAAAAGCCTGGAATCGCCCATGCAACAAGGGTTTTTCCTTCCTACAGTCTAGTATCCAGTGCAAAAACGTACGGATGTCATACATGGAAATTTGGTATTGAAATCCATCGACGGAGCAATATCCGAGGATACTACAGCAAAGTGCTTGGAGAAAGGTAGTACCCGTGGGATGAGACATGGTGATATTGGACACGATGAAATCAAGTAAAGCGTCTGTCGTCTGTTGAGGAGTCGAGAACTGGACGACTGATTGGACGGTATCTACTACACACCCAGAGGTCCGTAGCAACTGAGGAGAAGTTGTGGGGAAGATTCTTGCTTTCCATCCCCCATGGGCATGCACTCCAATCCAGTCTAAATTGGTAAATTCGATGTAATCTGTGCGAAAATTTGGCGTCCAGGACGGCAGATTCGGGACGTAGGGATCGATATTGCTGTCTGGGTCTTGTCGAAGGACAAGACGTCCGCTTTGTTCAGCGACGTTTTTAACTAACTCTACAAACACTTGAGCTGCTGGCTTGGTGTAGTCGACGGTGACAGGAATAGGACCTTCACAAAAACCCAAAATGCCGTAGATTTTGTCGCGGGGGTCTGTAGCATCACATAGCATCAAGGTTGATACTACATCAAGGATGTTTCCCAGATTGGCTAACCGTAGTTCAAGCGCGGGAGGTAAGGTAAGTTCCCACAAAGCAGTAAGGGTCTCGTTGGTAATGTCTTTCCACCGAATGCTTTGGCATCGAATGCCACTGATTATGTCCCCGAAAACCATCATCATATTGAATGATATAGACACCGAGCCGGAAAGCATTGATACTTTGGGTGGAAGAACGAGCTCTTGATGAACCCAAGTCCTATACCAGTATGATCTAGAAAATACCAAATTCATATCTAGAATATCAGACATGACCAAGGCCGATTTACCGTCCCGAAGATTCTGGGCAACGTAATCCTGGAGGCAAAAGAACATTTGGTCGCACTGGCCCTTACCGAATTTGATAGTGAATTGATCAATGTCCTCAACACGCTCGGTAAAATCCCCGACGAAACCGCGGATGAGGGAAAATGTGCGTTCAGCGCTACCGTCGTCATCTTCACCCAGCCATGCGTAAGTAAGCGTGGTCTTGGAATACAGTCTGCTCATCATGGCCACCTGGGTACTCCTTTCATCAAGATCTTGCTGGTTGATGCACACTGCGTCGACCCATAGGATGACTTCTGATTCGGACTGACGGATGCGCTGTAGTGCGGCTTCGAGGTTGTGGGTAACCTGGACTCTGATACCATTGACTATAATGGGTTTGGTGATGTCCCTTTGGCCCCATTCATAGGATAGAGCCTTGTATGATGGTTCTTCAACAAGGCTGACAGTGAAGAGCTGGCACGAGATGATGCTTTGCGGGATGTTTGTGGGATGTATGCGAAGAAGTCGAAATTCTTCTCGGGTTGGGTCAAGCGGTTGGTAAAGTGAGGTGTTTGCCATCTGGATAGCTTATGGCGTGGAGAGACAGCTGCAGTTTTCATGTTTTCGTGGAAGCGGGGCGCTCAGATTCTTAATAGCCAGCGCTGTCAGGGCGTATTGGGGCGGCTTCGGTTTCTTCGTATGTCAGGCAGGATGGCTGTGTACATACGCCCACGCGATGGAACAGTGTGGCGGTGCATCTGGGAAATGATTGCACAGCCACCAAACATCACCACAGCATCTGTTATCAACGACTGCACCAGTCAAGCACAAGATGCCAACTTGTATCGCCTACAATCGCGGCCAAGCATCACATATAAAGGAACGGCTGATTCCTCCGCAAACCCACCCTGCAGTTCAAAATGGCCATCCGCGTCTACCCCGCGACTCCTTCTGTTGCCCCACGTCTTGCTAGTATTCATGTATCAGCCTTCTCTTCCAACCGGCTCATGCGCGCCATCTATCCTACGCAAGCGATCTGGACGGCATTTGAATGCGCCGTAGAAGAAAAGCTAATCGCCGACATGCTTGATGAGAGGACGAGTGTGGTGGTTGCACAGTCTACAGATATGGAAAAGGACGGTGGAGGAGAGATAGTAGGATTTGCAGTGTGGTGTCTGGCTTGTGTAGAAGAAAAGGAGGATGAAAGAAGCAGCGGTGGCAAAAAGACATATACAGCACCGCGTTGGAACCTACCAGAGGGGACAGATTGGGACATTTTGAATGCATGGAGAGCTGCTGCTGCGAAAGTCGCGGACAGTACTATTGGAGATTGTCGGCATTACGGTAAGCATACGTGTCATGTTTCGTTTCCAACTGACTCTTGGTAATGTCGGTCTCTACAGAACTATCCTGGATCGCCGTATCACCGAACCACGGCCGCCAAGGCGTGGGCAGAATGCTACTTGACTGGGGCCTCGACACATGCAACAAGCAACGGGTTCCTGCGTACTTGGAAAGCACTGTGGAGGCAGCCGAGACATTTTATGCAAAAGTTGGATTTAGGGAAAAGGGGAGAATTCAGTTGGTGGTCAAAGGCGAGTTGTACGAGGAAGTTGCTTGTGTATATGAGCCCAGTGGTATGCAAGACGAGGATGACGCGAGGCTGAGATGAAGAGCCGCGTGAGGATACTACTCAGCTTCCAAAACACATCCAGTCCGCCTAGACGATAATGACGAATACAGCAATCCAGCAATCAGGGTGGATCGATAAGCACCAGGTGCCCACAGATGGTCAGTTATTCAGAAGATCTGCGTAGGCTATGATCTCTTGAAGGGGTCCTCGCTAAAGATGCGATCTGCTCGGGATCGGTTTTCGAGTGCCGGGACGCGCCATGAGGTGCGTCATGGGCATGCTAGCGGAACAAGCTTCCCTGCTGGGACGCAGGGGATCTCGTTTGTTGGTTCAGTCAGGTACTATTTCCAGATAACTGAAAAGATCTTCAGCAACATGCAGGATTCGCCTCCGGGACGGATGGAATGGGTTTAGGACATTGTGTAATATTTCGTCATGTTGAGGTGACTGCTGCGAAGAAGGTTTTCTCCGTACTCTACATGCTAATTGTACCTAGGCACATGGAGCAATAGACGACGTGCTAACACGACAGTACACACGGCGCATGCCCGTTCAACTCGCCCAGCCAGGGCGGCTATGATATCTGTGCAAGGCAGCACATTTGCGCGTGACCGTTACGGCGAGTGCATTTGCAAATTGAGGCGGTCTACGACACTCGTTTCTGTGTAGCAGAAATACCGCATACACACATGTTGCTGTGTACATAGTACATGCTAGTTCAAACCCCTTGGGTGCACGTCGCGGAGAGGCCATGGCCAGGGACTGTGTGGATCCCGCGATGCTTCTAGAGCGTGCTCTAACTTGCTGCTGACACGGTGGCAGCGCAGCCAAGGAGGGATCAAAGGGGCATTTGGACCAGTGCTGGCCGTCGCAGGCCCCACGGGGACTCGCGTCGTCGAGTCGGGGGTGAGGGCGAGTGTGCCGGCGGGTGGTGGTGAGATGGATTTTTTCCGCAGAACATGTCGGGTGTCGCTGACTTTAGCCCGCCTGCTGGTGGCAGTGGCCAATCAGCGAATCCATGACACACAGATTTCCACTTTTAGCCGGGCCCGTTGCATCACCCGTGACCGACGTCGCCGCCTTTGACTTCGAGATTGCTCGCAGACTTCTCCTTTCGGCGCTTCCCAAGCATCGCTACCATCTCTTGATCCATTCTTCGGATCCACCGCCAGGTCGCGCCCGCGACGCACTGGTCCTTTGGGTTCGCATCGACGGCCGCAAACGCTGTTGGGCCCATGAGGTAACGCCGGCGACGGCTCACTGCCCAAGCCCTGGGCACCCAGCACCATGCCGATATATGCTCGACTTCCCCTCCGACCACAGCTGCCCTCATTCCTTTGGTCTACACAATAGCACATTCTCTTCGTTGCCATCTCCCCTTCCGGGCGCCCCGTCTCCCCGCAATGGAACCCACTTCGTCCCATTCGTCTGATCGCACAAACGTCGATGCTCACGAGCTCGACCACCTTGCCCCCACCTACCCAACACCCTCAGTACAGCCTGAGCAGGCGACGGGCAGGACACGAGTGCGCTTCAACAGCTCGGCCAATGTTGAAGTCCCCATTTCTCCCCAGCTCGAGCCCAGCAATGAGCCCGTCCAAGGGCCCAATTCGGGACAAAACACTGTCGACCAGCACACGGCCGACGCCGAAGAGCTACTCAATGCCCACAATGCCCGCCTTGCACATGCCGAAGCCGCACGTGCTGAGAGTTCAGAAGGTCATGCTTTTAGTGACACCGACTCGGAAGGCGGCTATGCCGTGACAGGCAACAACAATGGAGGCATCTTCTATCAGATCCTGCAGACATACAAGAACCCCGTGCCTGCCTTTCCCGACGCCGCCTCCGAGCACAGCAACGCCACCCCTCCCCATCCGGTCTCTTCCTCTGGCGCCAACACGCCAAAACGGAAATGGTACAATGCCAACAAACCCATCCAGTCCACCGACACACTGGCGACTCTGATTGGTGCTTCGGCCAAGTTGGCCAACCCCAAAGATGAAAAGAAAGACCCCGCTCTGCGGCCACGCCAGCACAAGCGGACGGCCAGTGGTGGCATTGTTGCAAAAGTCTGGAAGGCCAAAGAAGACCAGGATGCCAAGATCAAGATTCATGTGGCCAACATCCTCAAGCGACAGCAATACATTATTCGCATGTGTCGTGCTCTCATGCTTTTTGGCGCACCTACTCATCGCCTCGAGGAATATCTTGCCATGACAGCAAAGGTTCTCGAGATTAACAGCCAGTTTCTCTACATCCCTGGTTGTATGATCATTTCCTTCGACGACAACCTTACCCATACCGCCGAAGTCAAGATTGTCCGCACTGCCCAGGGCGTCAACCTGGCTAAGCTCAAAGATACCCATGAGATCTACAAGGAGGTCTTGCATGACGTCATCAGTCTCGACGAAGCTCTTGCCCGCCTCGACACCGTCATCAACGCAAAAGACCGTCATCCCGTCTGGTTGACCGTCATCATGTACGGCTTGGCCAGCGCGGCCGTTTCCGTCTTCTTCTCAGCACGCTTCATTGACATGCCTGTTATCCTCGCTCTTGGTATGGTTCTGGGCGTGCTCCAATTGGTCATCGCTCCACTATCCAAGACGTACAGCACTGTTTTCGAGATCACGGCTACCATTCTCATGAGCTTCCTTGCTCGTGCTTTTGGCAGCATCAACAATGGAAATCTCTTCTGTTTCTCAGCCATTGCACAGAGCGCCATCGCCTTGATCCTGCCTGGGTGGCTGGTCCTGAGCTCTGCCCTCGAACTCCAGTCCCGTGCCATTGTGCCTGGCTCCATCCGACTCGTCTTTGCCATCATCTACTCTCTCTTTTTGGGATATGGCATAACCGTCGGCACGGCCATCTACGGTGCTATCGATAGCAATGCCACCAACGCGACCCAATGCCAGGAACCCCTGCACCCATACTGGAGCTTCCTCTTCGTTCCTCTTTATGTCTTCTTCACGACTTTCACCGTACAAGCAAAGTACAAGCAAATGCCTGCCATGATCATCATTGCATTCGCTGGCTACTTGGTCAACTTCTACGCCAGCAAGAAATTCTCGTCTTCTGCCCCAATCGCATACACGTTCGGTGCCTTCACCGTCGGTGTTTTGGCCAACCTCTACAGTCGACTGCGCCACGGAGTTGCCGCTGCTGTCCTCCTACCCGCTGTCTATGTACAGGTCCCTGGATCTCTTGCATCAAGTGGGAGTATCAACTCTGCTCTGAAAACCGCGTCCGCCTTGATCAAAGGCGCAGCAGGAGCGGCTGATGTAAGACACTTGGTAGCATCTCAAATGATCAATTCTAACGCAAATCAGTCGAGTCCCGATAGTTTGAACGCTATTGTCTTCAACGTTGCAGCTTCCATGATCCAGATTGCCATTGGCATTACTGTCGGCTTGTTCATGGCGGCCCTCCTCGTCTACCCCATGGGCAAACGACGGAGCGGTCTGTGGACTCTGTAGAGTATACCTTTTGATTTCTTTTTTCTTGTTCTGCATAGCGATACGGCGTCCTGGAAAACTAAAAGCGAAGGCATTTGGGGGAATTTGCATGCTAATCACGAGTAGTTGTCAACACTACCACGTTCAATCTGGTCGGTGCCTCATGGCAATGCGTGGTGTCGAGGTGAAGTGTGAAGGTAAGCCCCATTGCAGCTACGGTCGATTCCAGCGCAACCTCCGAGCAACCTTCGGCCGCCTTGCAACAACCATCCTCTATCCCGGCAGCCGTTGCGACATACCAAACCCATCTGGCCACCCCCCACAGCCTTCGCATCATATATCCTCCCGGTTATTCCCGCAGCCTTTGCGAAATCCTCCGCCCGATCACCTAGCAACTCTTGCCTAAGCCATCCACCTGGTAATTCCCAAAGCTCTTTACCGTATACCAACCTGGATAATCCCATAACCTTGGAGACCTTGCCCTTTTGGAAACCCCTTGGAGCGCCCCCCCCCCCCCGTGGAATCCCGGACTCTTTTTTGAATGCCCTTGCGATTTGGTTTCTTTCCTCGGCCTACCCTTAGGTTGCTTTTCCCTTGCGCCAATATACTTACTTTAGGGCCTGCGATTACCGATTGCGACATGTGCCGTACCCCCCGGTCCCTCTTCTATACGGCCTTTCGAAGCAGTATCCAATCCCTGCACCTTTGCGTCCTCGTGTTCTGCCCATGATACTTTGTTCATGTTTGCAAAGGTCATGGCAGTGCGAGGATGAGATTTATGTGTTCAATATGATGACTGTTATGAGTTTTATGCATGTGACGATGTGAAGTGCTAACGTTGGTAAAGTGGGCATGGTGGAAGATTGGACGAGGACATTATGGGGATTGATAGGGGTTGGTAGGAAATAGACAACAAAAATGCTATGATTGAGTTTGCAACATGGTCTTGCCAAACATGGATGCTCATGGTGGTGCATTTCCCAGTTGACCCAAGTGCTCAGCTCGAGGAGTGTATAGTGTATGTGGATTTGGATAAATGGAGTATTGAAGTATGGCTTAGCAGTGTTAGTTGCTTCGAATGGGTACAAGTTTTTGGTGTCTCTCTTGTTTATTCAATTGTTAGTTTCTTACACTACACTCGACATGTGCTTGGATAACCGGGGATGGTGTTGTGAGAGACGGCAGAGCGTGAGTAGTTGAGTAGGAAGAGGAGGGAGAAAAGGACAAGAAGAGCAAGATGCACAGTCAAAGTCCACCCCTATCACTCTCCTATACCCACATGACATGAGCAATTCACGCAAGCATCACAGTAAGCAACAAGCGTACCCAAGCTTTTTCTCTTCCCCCCCCCCCGGACCTACGTCAGCGCCTAGAGAAGAAAGAAAGAAGCAAAAAGGTTTGAGGCTCAAAAAAATATCCACCCACTCATGCATCTCTATGCGCACTGACGTCAAAGGCTTATATACAGACACACACACACATGTGCAGTCCCTTTCCTTCCCCTTGAGCAATGCCAACAATGACACAAGAAAGGGTGCATTCTAGAAGGATGCATGGAAGGAAGACGCACCAACCACATGATACGTAGTTTGCTGCTAGTCAAGGATAAGATATGTATGGATGTTACCAAGAACCCCCCCCCTCCCTCCCTTGCTGTTGCTATGACTGGCTTTCGCTGGGGGGGTTGCAGCTTGGGTCGACTTGTGTCTTGGGACTGTGGCTTTCTGGAGAGAACAAGGAAGAGAGGGGGGGTTTTGATTGGGTGGTTTAGGTCGGGTGCTGCTTATGCGAGGGAGGAAATTATGTGCATATGTGTGTCGCTGACATGGGGGGGGGGTTGGTGTGCTTGCTAGAGGTGAAGATTCGGTTGCGGATCGGTTCCGAGCTGTGTTTTCTTGGGGGTTTTTATTCTGGGGGAGGGGGGTGGGACAAAGGGTGCACGGGCGGTTTTTAGATGCATACGTATGTAGTTTTGTGTAAGATGGTAGTAGACTGGGGTACTGTGACGGTAGTGAGGTATTTTACAACAAGGGGCATGTTCCTGGTGGGCTCAAGATTGCGTTTGGGGAACTTGCGGGCAGACGCGGAATCTGCAGGCAGCATTTCCAGGCGTCCCGTTGACGCGTACGGCCGTCGGGCATAATCGGCAAATATGTATGTTTGAGTGAGTTTCTGGTGTGGTTTTGTTTTAGGGGGGAAGAGGCAGCTGGCAGGAAAGGACAAGTGACGGATGGATCGCTGCTAGAGGCGGAAATAACGAAAGGCGGGATGCGAGCGCGAAGCTTACCAAGAAGCGAGAAGAAACAAGTGTCGGGAAAGCTTCAAGCGAAAGGAGTCAAGGATGTCTAGGGGAGGAGACTAGGGTCTACAATAGGAGATTCGGTCGTATATACACAAGGCGTAGTCTACCAATACAGATGCATAGAGTATCCAACCACGACGGATGTCCGATAGTGGCTGGCTTTTTGCTTCCCTCGCCCATTGTCAACGACGAGTTTCCCCGCGTGTCAAGATGGCAGGGAAAAGCTTGGCATGCACAGGCTGTGGGCTTGTGTCTGTGTCGTACGATGAATCTGGAGCATGGAGTATCGGAAGCAAGCAACCAGTGTCAGTGAGTAAAAGCAGCAACGTCGCAGTGCTTTTGTAGGGCTGTCTTAGCGTCCGCCGGATTGACCTGGCACTGGACCCTGAGCAAGATGGGCCGGCCCCATGACGCTATGACAATTGGGGATTGTGCTAAGATATTTATAAGGCGGGAGGATAGGCTGTGCGTGAAATGAAGAAAATACATGCAGTCCGACTCGTGGTCGTTAGGCGTGCTTACCAGACAAGTGTCAGGTGGTGGGAATCCTTCAGTGCTTGTTATTGAGACGGCTGTGTTGATAAATGCACAAGACTTGCATTAACAATTCACGGGCTGGGACTAGTGGTGTCGATAGTTTCCGGGGCGGGTACACGACGACGCGGGAGAGCAGAAACAAACCCCACGAGTCGCTTAGATATGGTGGTGGTACACAGGGTCTTCTTGGGAGTTGCTGGTGTTGCTGACTGTTTAGCCGGCTGGGTAGGCTTGGTGCTTTACGATGCAGCGGAAGAGTTGTGTCAGCAGCGGGGCAGGCCATGTTGAGTGGTTGTCTCGCAGGAGCGATTATGTAGGCAGGGTAGGAGATATCTTGAGCGGGCTTGCTTGCAGGTAGCAGGGGCGTCGAAGCAGTGGATGGGAGAAATGCAAATCAGATAAGATAGCCATATGCATATTGTCTCGCTGCTGTAGGCAAATGTGTAGACGTGCTGCAGCGGCCGATGATCGTTACGGGATGCGGCTAGCTGGCAGCGCCTATGCGTAACTGGCCAAGGGGATTGGAAGCGGATGGGCTTTCCAGGCGAGTGCAATGGCCGGGGGCAGAGTCCAGACGGCTCCATGGGGGGAATTGTACGTCACCGGAGCGGTCTTGTTTGCCCAAAGCAAAATTACTCTTTTCAGCCAGTAGTCTCGCGGAGTGGCAGCAGAAGGCAGCAGAAGGCCGCAGGTAGGGCTGTGGCCTGGTCGGCCGCCACGTGGATTGGTGCAAATGCATGTGCAAGTCGTACGACAGGGCAGACATGAGAGCGATGTCTGTGGTGCATCAGTGTCGATGGTATACAAGTGTCTATGTATGTATGTGTGCATGCTAGTGCAGTGTAGCGGGCAGGACCGATCAACAGGGACCAGGTGTTGCTTTTGGGGGGCAGAATGGTGGAGAAGGAGTCGATGGCGCCGCGGAGGGTGGCGTGGGAGGAGGGTACAAGAGCCGGAGTGTGGGAGTAGACAGGTAGCGGTCGGTTGCAGCAATGTTACATGGAAGAGGTTGCTGATAAGTCATGGCTACGGCGCTTACGTGGACTGGGAGAGTCGAGGGTAACACGTGCTAGTGCCAGTCACGCCCGCCCGCCAATCCCCAGCCTCGAGCAGGCCATTCTTTGACCGATCGAGGCGGCCAGATGCTACCAGCCATCAACCAGCGACTTGCACCGCGTCCTGTTGACTGACATGGTGCTGTGTCGTGCTGTCCCTTGGTCGGCAGTATCAGAGTCGACTAGTCGCAGCAGGTGTTCGTCGGCCCGCACGATGCAGGGCTGTTATCGCAGAGTCACCGCTTGGAGCGGCTTGAGGCTGGGGATTGTGTGCACCACGCAGCCGCCCTTTCGGCTCCGTGGGCTCGCTGTCGTCGTCGTCAAGGGAGGCCGAAGGGCGGTGACAGAAGTGGAGGGCGGCTGCATCTGTGGCTGTCTGTGGCTAGCGCGAACGACACGTGACCCCGACCCAAGTTCGGCCTACGCCCACCCTCCCCTCACCCACAAGCAACTCGTGCAGACGAGCTGAAGGCCCCCCGGGCTCCGTACGTCACTGCAGCGATAGCGACACCGGGCCCTCCTGTCGTTGGCTAGCGTACCATCAACCTATACTCGACCGTCCCGGACACCACCCACGGGTCTGCATGTGAACAGCCCCGTCACCAAAGCACCCCGTCCATGCCGCTTGTGTGCGTGTCCAGTAGTCTCCTACCTGCCTACTGACTATTCCCTACATCCGCCCTGCCCCTCGCCACCGCTGTCTTCGCCCTCGTCCAGCCTTACCACGCATGGTCAGCGGCCCTCTTCTCCAAAAGACACGCCCACGCACCTTTGGAATGCTGTCAAAGGCGGGCACAAATGACGGGCGTGCGTGCTGCACATGTGCGGGTTAGCTCAGCAGGCCTGCCAATCTTTTTATCAAACACTCAAACCAGCATAGCGCACGCCTCCATGCACGCCCCTGGCCCCGCGGCAATCGGTGCTCCAACCTGGCGAGCCATTCCTCGACGAGAATAACAACATCTTGGGATGCCCGCTGCACGCCTGGTCTGTGCCCCCGGACGCGTGGGCCGAAAGTATTGCGACAGTCCCACGCAGAGGCAAGCGTCAGGCTCGCCTTATGCACGTATTTTCGCTCAGCGCCACATGTCTAGGCTCCGCTGTGGCCGTTGGAAGCGGACATGGTGGCATGCCCATGGCTATGGGCTTCCCAAATCCCTGTCCAAGCCCTCGGCCACCATCTCTACCGACTAGTACGTCGACGCACTCGATGCCCGTCGTGCGCTTCCTGTATAAGATCTCAGCTTGCCCACTGTTGTGTAAGCCTTCTTCACCACATAAGCAACTTGCCTAGACAGACATCGCCATCGCACGCCATAACCTACTCACTCTCTCAGCCTTGCCATCCATACCTACTAACCATCACCACTACCACCACTACTACCACCACCGCCACTCTTTCTCGTCATTGCTTACAGCACACCCAAACTACCACCGCAATGGATTCCCATTCCTTTGACTACTGGATGGCCCAGGGCAACTACGTTGTTCCCCCGCACCAGACCACCGTGTTCGACATGCCCCCAGAGTTGTCCAAAGTCCCCAGCCTCAGCGGATCGCCCGTAAGTAGTTGACCACGCTAGTGCCGTCTTCCTCAAAACTCATGTTCAAAAAAAAGGTTTCTTCCACATATGACCAGTTTCCCACCCAAATACAGCATGCATACTATCCTCAGATTGTCGACGAGCCCATGCAGTTTGGATCGTATCCCATGCCAATGACTCCATCGGATTTTGGATCCGACCACGACAGCCCATACTGCAGTCCCCGACCATTGCAACATGTCGAGCCAACCTTTGGAGCCGTGCACACAGCCGCCCCAACTGAGCGAACACACACAACCTCTGGCGTAAGTCTGACTCTAAAAATACGCAGTATCCCATCTAACCAGCACTAGCGCCGACGAGCTCAAAATCGTGCTGCCCAGCGCGCTTTCCGTGAGCGAAAAGAAAAGCATGCCCGGGATCTTGAAAACCAACTTTCCATTCTCAACGAAAAGTACAACAAGCTCGAGGTTTCACACTCTGAACTGAATGCTGCGTACGAGAAGCTCCGGAAAACCATTGAGCTACTTACGCAGGACGACGATGCTGAGGGTGAGGATGAGGACGGCACTTCCACACGTCGACGCAGCACAAACTCAGATACTCTACGAAAACTACTCGAAATACTGCACGGCGAGTTCAAGAGTACGACACCGGTCAAGACTGAAGCTGTTTCCTGATCAGCCGGCCGTGTCTTTTCTTTCCACCATCGCTTGTTGCATCGCTTCAATTCTTGTATACCCCTTCTTCTCGCCACGCTTCCACGACGATTGTTCTTTTGCAGCGCTTTTGCTTTGGGGTTTGGGGTTTGGGCAGGTTACATACAATGACTCTCTCTGGCGCTCGCTCGCTTGCTCGCTCACGACGAACAAAAACCACTATCTAGAATAGGCAAATGTTTGTTTTTGTCAGAAAGCGTAAATACCTTTTTAGACGGCGGGTAACTCCTTGACGTAGCTACGGCCGAAATAGTTATCTTGTTTGATAGGAAACCATAATGCCATAGAATCAATCTTCTTTTTTCAACATTGCCTACATACTACATGCATATCTTGCGTTAGCCCAACTAGGAGTACTACTACTGTACGTCTTGCGTGCTACCTGCCCACCCACCCTCTCTTTCACACGGACCCGTGACCCTTGCACCCGGGTTAGCCCTAAAAATCCCAAATAACCGCATTCCGCTTCGTCTCGACTCCACCCCGCGCACCGGCCGCCAGCGCGCCCCCATAACTCGTTTTCTGCGCTAGAGCAAGCCACGGACTCGTATCCCGATATAGCAGGCCAAACAGTCAGCAAAAGGCTACTAGGTATCCCAAGTCAGTCTCTCTTTTTTTTTTTGAGTTAAGCCTAGTTTTACACCAGCCTCATCAGCCCTCTCTCTTTTTTTTCTTTTTTGGAACATCCGTTACTGCGAAAGGGTCCCCGCCCCCCCCCTCTCCCTTCCCCCCGGATATTTCCACCAATTAGGGAAAGAAAGAAAGAAAAATAGAGGCTAGGGTTGGGGAGTGAGTCAAGTTGGGTACTGGCTGGGGCTGGCTGGTTGGCTGGTTCGCATAGATACTACTTTACTTAGTTACTACTATACCACATGGCATTTCCCGTTTTCTTCTACTACTACTACTACTACTACTACTTCTTCTTCTTTCTTCCTTCTACCCGCCCTGACGGTGCACCAGTCCTAACTAGCTAGCTTTCCGCTTGCCAAAAAAGGGAAAGCATCAGTAGGAAGAGAAGAAAAAAAACAAGGTCTCACATGTATAAGCATGTACATGTGCATGTGTATCTTAATTTGTATCCTCGCTTCTTCTTTTAAGATCCGAGACATGAATTGTGAATCGAGGAATCGGGCACAATGCATTGCCCTTCGGGCTTACTTTGTTCTTGTGCCTTTTTTTTTCTTGCTTCGTAGGAGCGGAGCTGGAAGGGAAGGGTGGAACCAAGTATGGAACTACTAGTGTACTTCACGAATCTTTACCACCCGACATTCTTTCGCCCGTTTTGTGACCCCACAGACTTGGGGGGACAGTGCACTCGGTGGAGTGCATTTTACAAAAACTGGTCAAGCGAGGTGGAGGGGGGGGGGGGGACAAAGGGCATAACACGTAGGTGATTGTGGTCCGGGAGCTGGAGTTATTTTGGTATCCGTAAGTGGGGGTTTTTTTGGGATTGGGCTAGACTTTTCCGGGCTGCAGGCAAGCGAATGGGTATTGCCGTGTACGGGCAATGGTCAGTTTTTTTTCACACCCTCTTTCTCTCTTCCTTACTCTTGGGGAAAAAAAGAGAGAAGGAGCATTTGGAGAAATGAGAAACTCGGTACAATTTCGGAGCGAGAAGTAGTACGGACGAAAATGTTCCAGGCCGGGACAAGACTTCGAGGCTGAGGGGGAAGTAGAAAAAAAGTTGGTTAGGTTGTTGCTGCACGTTATTGCGGGACAGGTACCCGAACCCGACTTTCTCTCATGTTTTTAGCAGCCAGCTCACGTGTTTGCCGCCTCTTTTCACCACCCGTGGAGCTAAACACACATGTCTCGCACTCGACAACCACCATGACCACCAGAAATAACTATAGAATTGCAGACCGCTTTCTTGAATCCCCCACTTTGCAGCATCGTCATCACACACACCCACACAATACACACAAATAGACACGCCAAAAAGTCCGATGCCCAAAAAAAACCTCCTCTGGGGGCCAAAACAACCACATTACTTTACACATACGTATACACGCACTAGCCACCTCTCTTCTCTCCCCTCTCCTCTCGCTAACCATCCTCCACTAACGCACTAGCCCATCTGTCATGCATTCCCCTCCCCCCCCCCCCCCCCCCATTCATCCCGTGTATACCTGCCCATTCTACACACAATTTGAAAAGCCAGCGTCTCCATCTGTACTACCCATTACCACAAAGCAGTCATTGCGCGATGGAAAAAAAAACCCCCCTTCCCCAGTTAAATCGGCACTACCTACCTCATCCAGCCTAGCTACATCCGCTCTTCCCCTGTTTCTTTCTTCCTACTACTAATTTAGCCCAGGAAACCTTTTTTAAAAAAAAAAGGGTAAATGGTAAACTAAGTGCCTAAAATAAAGGAACCGTCATGACATGTTCGGGGGGTGGGAAGTCGCGAAAGGCTAGTGTGGTGTCGTCTAGTTCCTAGTATGTAGCCTTTTTGGTTTGTGAGACGCCCACAGTAGGTACTGGGGAGGTTTTTTTTCTTAATTTCATGGTATGATTGTGGCGTTTAGTACATAGGCCAAGTGATGGGTGGCGGGCCAAAGAACTGGTGGTGTCTTTGGGGAAAAGAGGAAGCTGTATCATGTGACGAGCGGTGTTGGCCGATGGCAAATGCACACGAGTTTGGGACCGAAGGAGGCTATAGTGTAGTTTTCGCGGGACGGGGCCTAGGCCCAAAGGTTGGACCGTGGTATAATTTGGTCCCCTTTTTAGCATGGTTTGGGATGTTACATGGCTTTGTAACGGTTGCGGCTCTGTTGTTGATGGTCGTCTTGGGTTTGGGAAAAAAGTGGTCTGAGGGAGGGAGAATGTTGGGTATACGATGAGGGAGAGAGAGAGAGAGAAGTGGTATGATAAGTCGTACGTTTGTTTTCTTGGCCACACATGTGATGAATGAGTGGTTGGGGGTTTATGGTTTGGGAAGGTGTGAAGAAGTCGTGTTTGATGGGAAATGGTACTGTGCTAGAGATACGGGGTGGAACAGAGTTTGGATATTCTGGCAACATGTGTAGCGCGCTTAGCTGTTGAGAAACGAAACAAGAGGTAGAGTAGTAGCACGATATTGCTTGTGGTTGCAGATAAGAGTGGTTACAGGTTATGGTATCATGGAACATCAATGAGTGGTCTGAAATGAGACAGTAGTTTTAGCGAACAAATGCCAATGCAAAGAGCCGGTTGCACATTTGCAGTGAAAATGAAGTTGAGGTTTTATTTTCCCAATCATGTCCATGTCTTGTATTTGTTCGATCTGGTGTTGTTGGAAAAAAAGAAAACGAATATGTCTGAATCGAAGGAACGTCATTGGTATATGTTTTCTTTGTACGAATTCTCTTTGTTTTTTCGGCTAACGAGGCTAGGGATTATAGTTGATCAATCGCCTATAAGCATACTAGGTATTTGCTGTTTGCAAAAGTTGAGACACCATTCAAAGCTTCCCCGCAAAAGTATATCCGCAAGCGGCACTCCTCGGTTTCGTATTATCCATCATGTCTGATTTTTGAATTGAGTTTTATTCTAAAAGTTTGTCGCTTCTGAAAACAAAACAAAAACACGCTGTAAGCGAAATCATTACGTATCCATCAAACTCATCCATCCCAATGTCATCCTGGTGTGTTCAACCATATTCGTAAACCCATGTTACCCTCACGAAGCCGAAAAAAAAACGCCAACCTATTCCCATACCTCGTGTCTCATACTCCATCACACCCCATCATCACATCAACACTCGACCGTCGCGGCAAATGCCCCAGTCCCCTGCCCCTCGGGTGCCGCGACAAAATCTCCCTGGCCCAACAAGCGATCAAACATCAAGCAAGCGGTAGCCAGATATCCGCCCTGGGTACCATAATACCCCGGGGGCACAAGCACGTTCTCAGCCCAAAACGCCGTCTTGCACTCGACATGGTCGCCGTAGCCGTAGCATTGCTGGAGGCACTGTTGGGCCATTTGTGTTTTGTTGGAGGAGAAGGAGGGGTAGTAGGCGCTGTAGAGGGAGGCGTCGGTGGTGCCGGGGGCGGGGAGGAAGGACTGGTTGTTATTGTTGCTGCTGCTGCTGCTGGTGGTGGGTGGCGCGAGGGGCGTGACGGTGCAGGTGGAGGGGATGGGTACGATTGCCGGGCCGCCTGCTCGTGGGTCGAGGTTGGATGTTGGTAGGGCGGAGACGAGGGAGCAGAGTACTGCCGTCGTTGCTACTGTGAAGACAGTGCGCATGGTGAGTGTTGTGATGACGAATTCGCGAAATGACGCGGCAGCGTTGTGACGATACGAAAGCAGCGGGGTTATTTTTTTTCTATCGATTTCCTGAGGTGGGGAGGGTTATAGCTCGTACTCGACGCGGGTCTATATGCATATTTATTGACTGTGGCTGTGATGTCAATGTCGATCTGACCAAACCAGCCTCGCGCTTTCAGGGTTCAGCCGCAACGTCGTGTGCGTGCATGTCAGCATTTTAGCCTGGCAGAGATCAGCAATCGAAATCCTCCTATGATGTGACTGCGTCCTGCAATGTCTGTAAGCTTTGCTCGTACTTGTGCTCAAAGAGGGTGATGCAATAGTCTGCCTGATTTGATCGGCAGTGGTGCACAAGTCCCGAATGATGTCAAGCGCATTCGCGACGTTGCAGCATGCTTGCACTTGTCTAGGGTATGCAATAACTCGCTTGGGTATCCTAGGCGGGGAGACACGTTTTATTCTATTTGGGGCGTATAATGTCTCAGTCCGGACCATGTCCGCTGTATCGTGTTGAGCGATCGTGTCGTGAGTGAGGGGTTGGAATAATTGTTGAGGAATAACGTGGTAGCACTAGAGCTGAGATGCAGAGCGAATGTTACAATCACGAATCAGGGTATGGATGGAAATGCGTAGCATTGCTCTATCTTGACTTTTGCCATGATTTTGAGTTGGTGAAAAGATTATCACATTTGCCTTAGTATTCCCAATGTGAGTCTGAGTGGAGTTTTTAGCCCTTTTTATTCATGCCGCTTTATAACACAGGCAGCGCATAAAAGATTAATTCGTAGAGGAAATGATATGATGGAGTGGTTGTAGGATATTTGTGAGAGGGGAAGTGAAGAGTTGTTGGAGGGTGATGGTTACGAGAAATCGGGTTATGCCAAAGGGAAGATAATGGCCGAGTAGAGACAAACTGTGTTTAAAGAGTTGAAAATTGATATGATCATAAAATATATACGAACATGTGAGGATGAGGAGTGCAAAGAAAGAGGATCTAGGAATATGCATAATGTATGATTTTTAAGAGGGAGTAGATGTAAATACATATTACAAAGACAAAGCCAAGGATATTCTTGCGTTGGCAAAAGGGACAGAGTGATACGACCAGAGCACATTGTAACAATTTCTACTGAGATGAAATTAGTTACTCTCAAGCAATTATTGTAGATATTCGGAAGTAAGTGTTTAAATGCTCATGTTAGTTGGTACATCTAACCAATCTAAAATGGTATCACGAAATTGCATGAGTATGGATAGAAGATTCAGATTCAATGAGAGATGCAACATGATCATGGTATATCATCGAAAGCTATTTTATTTCCCATTGTGCAGTGTAGGCATGAGAACGGCTTTTATTTTCAATATAAAGTAGTAAGTTGTCCGCAAAATAATTCAACAAGATAACTATTCCAACTGCATTTAGGGAAAAAAACCAGGATCACTAATGTACTTCCCTGTCCTTTTGTATTGGGGAATCTCAGGTTTCACCGTTAGGTGTACCATTTGTCCTGCTTGCATACTTATTTCATCAGTCCATTTCTTGAAAGAGTACATCACGTGACTATATCTTGGCACATTTGCATGACTTCCATTTTCAGGATCAGCATTGCCTGTTCAACTTATCACAAGTTGGCAAAGAGTTATAGCAGGGAGTACGATGACGTCAAAGATGATGTTTGAATGACCATTCCAAATATTCTCCTAGCTCAAATCTCACATGCTGCCAAGCAAGACGATGTGCTGTAGAACAAAGCGACTTTTTCCAGACTTCTTCTACGGACTAGGAGCAGGACAGTGTATACTAAACCTAGTTTAGCAGGCATGAGTTTGACTTTTGGAGATGTTTCTGCAGCCTATATCGAGTACATGCTAAGCGTGTCACATTGAACAGGCCTTGGGATGAATTCGAGACTGGTGGTGTTTACGTTGAAGCTAGGGGATCGTCCACGCAATGGTACGCAAGTAGACAGACGCAGAAAAAGCAAGGGGATTTCCTGATGCGGACGCTGACAGGTTGGCTTTGATAACATGTAATACGGTAGGTTTGTTGCCGAAAGAGCCTGATGCGATTACCTTTGTTTTTCTCCCAGGGCTAGGGGGAGTGAATAAGTGGTAGAAGGTTAATATGTGGACGAGGCAGTGTCGGCAGTAAGCACATTGCTGGGAGGCTGAAACTCGTGTTGCGGGATGCTGGACAAGGCCGAGAAGATGACGGGGTGTGGTTGAGAAGTAAATGAACAGGTCGGTTGGGCCGAATGCTACACCGTAAACGGCCGTACGATACACGAGGCTGGCATTGGGGGCTTTGGGGGAAAAAAAGGTCGGGACAATGGAGAAGAACTGGGTATTCAGAGGGTATAGTCTTGCATTCATGCGTGCGACTGCGCCACAGGAATGCTGGTGACAGCGACACGGGACGCGTTTCGAAGGGCCCGGTCGAAGGACAAACAATGACAAGCAGCGAAGGGGCTCAGTCGGGAGGTGGGTCTGACAGGAAACAAAGTATGAGGCGCACTGGACTAGACGAGATAAGTATGGACGGGTATTGCCAATAGCATGTGCATGTGGGAAAAAGGGCCGGGGCTAGCGTGGAGTAAAAGGAGATGACGAATGAAAGAGCACAAAGATGCATGACTGTTTTGGGTGATGGAGAGGGAGTAGCATGGAGAGTGTGTGACCATGAGTAGGGAAGCGAAGTGGGCATGGCAGGACTGAATCGAAACGTTTATGCGGATATGGATAGCGGAGTCATGTCGATCTGGCGGTGGGAGCAAGTAGAGAGTCCAATAGTGCCATGGTTGGATAGTGTTGGCGACGTAGTGATGGTCAAGACGCTATCCAAGGAGAAGAAAGATTGTGCAGTGGAAGCCGAAAGCAACAGGCAGGCAGAGGACTGAATTGGAAAGCGCCACGAGGGCTAATTAGGCTGGGTGAGAGGATCGGCAGGCGCTGTGAGAAGGGCGAGCTCTGTGTGTTTGTGCGGTACGGTGGTGAGGGCGGTGCCTGCCTTTTGCATCTGGGGGGAAGGACTGAGTCTGAGCCGGATTCGTGTGGGACGAACAGGACAGGCACACGGGGTGCAAGTAGTCTTGAGCACGCCAGTTGCGGCGCGTGGGGGAGTGGGATGGGATGCAGCAGCGGCGTTGGGATTGACAACGGCGTGCAAGAGGGTGCTTTTTGTCGCCCATGACGGCCAACGGCTGTGCCTGCAAAGTGCGCAACAGCAGCAGCAGCAGCAGCCGTCGGCGTTGGCAGCCGACGAGGGTTGATGGCCATGGCCTGGCACAGACAGGGGCTGATCCATGTCCCGCACGACACAGCAGGCCACGCACAAGCGGGCAGGGCACCAGGCTGGGAGCGGCGAGCAGAAGCCAAAACTGCCCAGCTGCCTAGGGCGAACCTTGGGCCCTGTCAGTGGTAGGAATGGCCGACTCGAAAAAACCATGTGCTCCAGTAACCAAGGACTGCTCATGCAGGCGGGGGCACCATCTGGCTGCACAGGCGGGGCAAGACTCAAAGGACACCAAGCAGCGGCAGCGGGAGAGGGCGTGATTCAAGGGGCGGCGTGGCACCCTGGCCCTGCAGCTACTTGGCTAATTCCATGTGGGCGCAAGCCGTTGGGGAGCAACTGAGTGCTGTTCTGCATGCTGGACTGGACCAGTATCAATGTACAAGTATACACAGTACATGGCCAGCTAGCAACGTCGAGCCCGCCATGTCAGCAGCGGGCGGAAGGTTGGGCGGAAGTAATCATGGCCCTTGTCAAGCCAACCGTCATGGCCCAGGCAAATACTCGTCCCATCTGGACGACGGGGCGCCGGGGGAGAAACATGGGAGAGGGCAGCGATCAGCGTCATTCGCCGCCAGCGGCGGGGCAGGTGTTTTGCCGAAATGAAGGGCCCGGCGGTGCTGCCCTGCCATTGGCTCGCTTACCGAGTGCCCCCTGCCCCCCCTGCGCCCTGCCCTGCACCTGGCGAGGCTGCCCTCCATGGCCGACACGGGCGAGAGAGAAACGATCAGCGAGCGTGTCTAGACTCAGACTGCAGCCTCGGTGTCGCATCATCGCCGCTTCTGCCCATCTTGCCAGCTTGGGGGAGACAGAACCGGGGTTGCCCGTCCCATGCCCGCTGCTGTTTGACCACCCACCCGACAACCGTCTGTACGACCAGGGCGCTGCCGGCCAGATGCAAATTAATCCGCATCCACAAGCACCACAGTGGCCGCCGACTGCAATTTGCACCCAGCATGCTATAGGTGGCCGCGACGTGAGTGCGTGTGTGGCCGCAGCCGCTGCACCTGCATGCCCTCTCTCTCCTTCGCCCGTGACTCTACACACCTCCTGCCCTCAGCATCTTTGCGTCTGTCAAGCCTTCACTACCGTTCGACGAGCGCAGCCGACGACGCGACTACGCCCTGTCGAGCGAAGCGGCGTTATATTTGGCCACTATCGAATATCGAATGCACACACCCGCCGCGCCAAACCCTGCCTTTTCCCGTCCTGGAAGCTCCCAAGCCACCGCTAGTCACGAGCTGCTGTAGCCCTTGGTTCTCCTGCAGGGTGCCCACGTTAGCCACGCTTGTCCCTGCCAGCCGTCGTTTTGGCCTCGACACCTGGGCAACATCTGCTGCTGACGCCGGCATTGCCCTTCCCTCTCCCTCTTCACCGTCCCGTCGCCCGCGCTGCCTCCCCAAGCCGACTCTTCCTCACCCTCAGCCGACAATTCTCACCGGGCCCTCTCCTCCACCGACACTGCGCGCTCCACCAAGCCGCCCGTTGCTTCATCCTCCCTCCCCTGGCGCCCCGTCGACAAGCCCGCAGCCTTACGCTCTCTCTCTCTCTCTCTCTCTCTCTGCCCTTCTTTCCCTTGCTCACAACCCGCCGATTCTCCGAATCACAAACGCTCCTTTGAATCCCACCTCTGCTCACGCATCGCACCTTCCGCCGTAATCAGCCCCTTGCTTCTTGCCAACCGTCGCTCTCGTTCCTTTTGGCCAGCACAAGCTCCCGACTCCAACGCGCGCTTCAGCCCCGCTCGACCCATTCAAGACGCGCAAGCCTCCCCGTTAGCCAGGAACAAAGCAACTCCACCCTGTCGCAACTTCATCGCCACTCTGCCCACTCCGCGCCCATCGTCATTGTTCTCCAACCCACCCTGCAACCCCGTGCTCTGATCGACGACTGCCACGCTTTGCTCTACACTCGGCTTGCCGGTTGACATCCACCTGTCGACCAAACTCCTCTTGTTTGACGCTGGTCCGTACCGTGCATCCGACCCTGCGTGACGACTGCCTTCTGGAACCTGTCACTGTCAAACATGACGGCATAGATTTCGCGACAGCCTCCAGATTCATTGCGACGACGCCATCACTACACCTGCTGGTGCTTTTGCGTTAATTCTAGCTGCACTGACAGTCTAGTGAGTGACGCTGCCCTTGTCGCATCCCCCCTTCAGCACACACAATGCTGACAGACAAACAGGTCCATTCTTTACCCACATTGACAATCGTCAAGTCCACTCGTTTTTACCATAACCCTGACAGTCCGTTTTCCCAATCACTCCAATTGCACGCGTCGTCATCTGACAATCCCTCAGGCTCCAAAGGCTTTCGCCTTTGACCATCCGCTAGACACCTAATCATCCATAGCACGGGGATATAATTCGTAAATATGCCGCGATCTTCAACCATCTGGGCCGCCGCCCTCCTCATGGCCAGCATGTCTGGTTCCGGCCCATTGCTCACCACTGCCGAGGCTATGCCTGCACCAGGTCCTGGACAAGCACAGGATCGCCCTCGATACTACATTCCACGCCACGTTAAGCGAGAAGACATCGACGCGACCACACCACCACCACCGTCCTCGGAACAGAGCACCTCTGACCGGCTCTCGTCGCGTCAGCTTGACTTTTCCTCTTTTATCGAGAATCTATTCCGTGGCCCATCTGACAAGTCAGCACTGTCGACTTCGTCGGATCCGGTGATTATCGCAAACGATATTGATGTTACTCCCAACGTCCCGCTGCCTACAGTGAACTCTACTGCACCTTTGTCTCCAACTGGTGCCCCTGAGTCTACGACCGCCAGCCTGGCTTCCTCGGTACAGGTGCCCACCTCGACACCCAGCCTTTCTCCATCGCCGTCACCTGAGCCGCAGCCCAGTCCATCACCATCACCAGAGGCTCAACCCAGTCCATCCCCTGAGCCCAAGTCTACTCCGTCGCCGTCGCCGTCGCCGTCGCCATCACCTGCGCCATCACCTGAACCCACTCCAGAGCCTGAGCCTGAGCCTAGCCCATCTCCAGAGCCTGAGCCCCAACCTGCTCCCTCGCCATCGCCGTCACCTGAGCCTCAGCCAAGTCCGTCGCCGTCACCAGAGCCTCAGCCTCAGCCTCAGCCTCAGCCTTCGCCGGAGCCTGAGCCTGAGCCTACTCCTTCGCAGCCATCCCCGGCTGGCTCAACAGGCGGTCTTCCCTCGGTGATTGTTCAGCCTACTTCATCTCCCCAGCCTGAACCTCAGCCCAGCCCATCCCCAGAGCCTGAACCCCAGCCAACTCCTTCACCTGAGCCAAAGCCGGAGCCTCAACCCACTCCTGAGCCATCACCAGAGCCAGAACCCCAGCCTACGCCCATCCTCCCAATCCTTGGTTCTACCGGTCTGCTTCCTGACATCATTGTGCTGCCTACGCCTTCCAGTTCGAGCCCTTCATCTACTCCGGATGAGCAACTGTCGGACGTTGTGAAGCCAACTTCCGATGCCCCCATCGTAAGCCCCACTGCTACAACTGGAGAACGCATTGGTTCTACTGGAGGCATCCCCGAGACAGTAGTGACCCCCACTCCATCTCCTGCCCCTTCTGCGCAGCCGTCCTCGGTTCAGTCGTCAAGCTTCCTTGGACCTTTCATTGTTCCAGGATCGACTCAACCCGCTTCTGAGAATGTTCCCGAGCCTTCACCTTCACCTAGCTCCAACATTGGTTCCACTGGCGGACTTTCTGACATCATTGTGCTTCCTACCAGCACACCGTTGATTGTCCTTCCCTCGCCTAGCTCTGGTGCTGGCTCAACTGGCGGGCTTCCCGACATTATTGTGCTTCCTACAAGCAGTCCTGCTAGTGCTCTCCCCACACCTAGCTCTGGTGCTGGCTCTACTGGAGGAATCCCCGACATTGTTGTGCTTCCTACAAGCAGCCCCGCTAGCGTTCTTCCCACCCCTAGCCCAGAAGTTGGCTCTACTAGCGGGCTTCCCGACATTGTTGTTCTCCCTACAAGCAGCCCTGACAGCGCTCTCCCCACCGGCTCTACTGGAGGAATTCCCGACATCGTTGTTCTGCCTACTAGCACTCCATTGGTTGTCCTTCCTACGCCCAGCCCAGACACTGGCTCAACCGGAGGAATCCCTGACATTATCGTTCTTCCCACCAGCGCTTCTAGCGTGGAATCACCTCTGCCATCTTCGGGTATCTTCATTGGAATCACTACTGCTCTCGGCACTCAAGGGTCTGCTTCCCCAACCCCATCTCAGCCCCTGGGCTCGGGACCCATTCCTACCTCAGAGGCCGCTGCCACTAGCTCTGTGCAACCAGACCAGTTTGTAAGCTCGTCCATTCTACCTGATGTGTCAGGTATCCTGCCTTCTGGTACTGGCCTTGCTTCCACTGCACCCACTCCGGTGCCTACTTCCGAGCCCAGCCTGCGCCCGACAATCATTTCTTCGCTGGCTTCGTCTGTTGGTACTGGCATTCCCACTAGTGAGCCTACTGTCGTTCCCACTGTCTCGGCTTCAAGCTTCGCGTCGGAGATCCTGCCATCTTCTGGAGTGTTTCCCTCCTCAGGTACTGTGCCAACTGGATCTGTGCCAGTCCCAGCTTCCACACCTGTCTCGTCTGGTGTACCTACTTCCGAGGTTCTCTCCTCGACTGGCCTTACGCCCACTGCCTCTGCTCCAGCTAGCGTCACATCTCCGGCCTCGGGTATTACTCCATCCGGCACAGGAGCTGTTGGCACATCTGCGTCCCCCACTATTACACCTCCTGTGAGCAGCCAGTCTTTGAGTGTGCCAGCATCTGAAGAGGTATCGTCGGGACTGCCGACAGGCTCAGCAAGCAGTGCTGCGCCCACACTGATCCCGCAAACCTCTACTAATGCCACCGAGAGCGATCTCCCTACGCCAACTGCTGGCACAGGCTCCGTATCTTCAGCTCCAGTGGTCTCGACACCAGTACCTGCATCGGAGACTCCGGTGCCTACTCCTTCGCCTACCAGCACTCCTTCCGCCTCACTCATCATTCCCGTCAGCCCATCTTCCGTCAGCAGCTTAGCGCCAATTGCGTCCCTTACAGCAACTGCAACTGATAGCGCAACTACCTTGGTTGTAGGTACTAGCATCATCGTTGAGGCTTCCTCCATGCCCACTCCATCTGCTAGCCCTACTGCCAGCACCATCCCGTCAAGCTTGCCAAGAATGATTGCACCCCCCGGAGGTGTCCCACCAGCCATGCAACAAAACACCTTCATGGGCCAAGTTTGCTTCAAGTGGCCGCTCAACTATCCCTTTGTTTCTGCCAATGATGGTGGTCAGCAAATCTTCCACTACCTCCCCATTGCCATTGCCGACGCTTTGAACATCTCTGTTTCTGATGTCAAGAACTACGGTTTGAAGCCCCTCAACACAATGGAGTACTCTGGATTCATCACCACCGTGGCCATGTTCACCATTCCCGAGGATCTCGAGTCTAAGCTGGCACTTCAACTTCGCAACCCTGCCTCTGCCTTGTGGAACAATGCGGACTCTACTGTCAACGATTTGACCAGCTTGATCAACACCGCATGCCCACTTGCCGCTGGTAACCTTCCCGCCGACGGTCCAGCTGGGGGTTCTTCTGGCGAAGGTGATGCTTCATCTCCTAACGGTGGATCTAGTGGCGGCGGCGCAATGGGAGGAGACATTGGTGCCAGCCGCAAGGTCAACTCAACCAGTGCCATTGTTGCTAGCAGTGCCATTGTTGGAGCCATTGCCTACGGAGCGGCCATGTTCTTCGTTGCCCGCCGATACAGGAACAAGCGCATGGCCCACCAGCGGTCCAGCTCTATCCCTAGCACGGGTCGCAACACCTTTGGCTCTATTCCTGGCGGTGCGGCTGCCTGGATGCACGGTGCCCGCAACGGTCGCATGACACCTGGCAGCCGAGGCAGCAGCGCCAGTCAAGGACGCAGCATCAGGACGCAGCAAATCTCAGCGCCCGTCATGGCTGAAAACTCTCTCGGCTGGAACTAAGGCGTTTTTTTGCCGCTTTTCTCACGTCACGCCTTAGCGGAGTGATTGTACCATATACCAGACGTTACTCACTTTGCAAGCCACCGCCAACGTCTGACGCCCTTTGATGTATTTACATTACGGCTGTTCACTTTATCAAGATGTCCACATTCATCTATCGCACCGACCTCATTCAGACCAGCATTTGCATTGCATCTAGCTGCTCGAATTTCCTCTTATCTTGTCGTCACTACCGTTCGGACACTCTCGTTAACACTATCATAAAGCTAAAGATTATACTCCTACATTTTTTTTCTCTATTTTTTCCCTTTCGTTGTATTTCTCTTCTAAGATACCAGTCTGTGCTTTCGGAAAAGCTAGACCGTTTTTTTTTCCTCTGTTCGATTTGTGGATGGATGCGGTGGTAACTGTATACCGGTGTCGAGACTTGGTATAGAGTCCACTGGATCCATCATGCATCGCGCATGTATGGATAATGAGGGGCACTTGTGGGGAGGTTACAGTTCCAAGTAAATAGTCTTTGGTGAGAATCGAGAAAAGTCTACAAACTGCAGAGGCGTACCAGATGGTGATGAACAAGTGCATGAGACAGCGGGGTAATCAGATGGTGTACGATTAGTTGATATAATACCAAAGCCTGTAATTCATTTTAGACGGCTATGCCTTGCTTTGTCTGCATGTCGAGATGACCTTAATCATGCTGTGTAACGTGCAAAGGCGGTCGTGTCGCGCATTTCGTCTGCTTTCTATGGTCTGCAGAAACTGCCACGTTGGGAAATAGTGACCTGAACCCTGTCGCGGTCTTGGCGCAGCTCCGCCGACATCGAACACATTGCGGACTCGCAGTAAGTTACGACGCAACCCGCTGACGCCTATTCCTCACTCTTTTACCCGTCTCCCCACCAAGCAACCTCCAGCACTAGCGCCTCGAGCTCCCTCTGCCCTCGGCCTGCGCTTGTACGGACTGGCTATAAAAGCCACGTTCCCATAACCCACCCCTCCACAACGAACACAGCTGAGCTACAAAGATGCGGTTAGACGTAAAGGTACGTCGCATAACGCAATTGGAATACTTCTGTGGTGGAATTTCATTGTTGACTTGGATATTGTTATAGAGGCAGCTTTTTGCGCGCTCAGAGCGTGTCAAGGGTAAGCGGACTTGAAATGCGCATGAGCTCCTGTGGATTGAACTGACACGCTGCAGGCATCGGTAGGAAGTGCACTCTCTGAACAAACGACCATTACTAAATACCGCCAAAGACTTTCACCCAACGGAGCCATGGATCCTCACCACCCTGTACAGCGGTATGCATAGCCCCAGGCCTACAATCATGGATCAGGGCTGACGGAAACAGGTCATGTTCATATCTGGTCGTACATCACACAGTCGATTGTCAAGACGTTCGAGCTCACCGACGTGCCTGTCCGCGCCGGTCGCTTCATCGCTAGAAAGAATTGGATAGTGGCAGGTAGGGCACAATCGTCCCGTGGATACAAGAAGAGGAATTGACAAGTACCAATTCAGGTTCTGATGACTTTCAATTGCGCGTTTACAACTACAACACCTCGGAAAAGGTCACGTCTTTCGAGGCACACCCCGATTACATTCGCGCCATCGCCGTTCATCCAACACAGCCTTTCGTCCTGACCGCCAGTGTGCGTAGTAGTACCCTAAGGAAACACAAATCAGGCTAATGTAGCCACAGGATGATATGACAATAAAGCTCTGGGACTGGGACAAGTCATGGAAGTGTATGTGCAACACTTCTCTATGAGAAGAGAGTAGGTGCTAACACGTGCTAGGCGTACAAGAGTTTGCTGGCCACCAGCACTATGTCATGGGCATTGCCATCAATCCCAAGGACCCCAACACATTCGCTTCTGCTTGTCTCGACAGGACAGTCAAGATATGGTCCCTCGGTAGCTCAACACCCAATTTCACCCTCGAGGCGCACGAGACTAAGGGAGTCAACTTCATTGATTACTACCCTCAGTCAGACAAGCCATATCTACTCACTACCTCGGACGATCGAACGGTCAAGGTCTGGGATTACACCACAAAGGCACTCATTGCAACCCTTGAGGGCCACACTTCCAACGTTAGTTTCGCGGTCTACCACCCGGAGCTCCCCGTTATTGTTTCAGGATCAGAAGACGGCACGATCAAGATCTGGCATTCCTCAACCTATCGGTTAGAACAATCATTGAACTACGGTCTTGAGCGTGCGTGGTGTGTGTCATACCAAAAGGGCAAGAATGGCATTGCACTTGGTTTCGACGATGGTGCCGTCGTCATTACCATGGGTCGTGAGGAGCCGGCAGTCAGCATGGATGGTAGCGGAAAGCTGCTTTGGGCCAAGAATAATGATATTCTCACCTCCGTCATCAAGGGTAGTGACCAGCTCAAAGACGGCGAACGGCTCACTCTTCCTAGCAAGGATCTTGGATCGACCGAGCTTTACCCACAGGCTCTGCTCCACTCGCCGAATGGCCGTTTCGTGGCAGTCTGCGGTGATGGCGAGTACATTATTTACACTGCGCTTGCTCTCCGTAACCAGGCGTTTGGTTCCGCTATGGACTTTTGCTGGGCGTCGAAAGAGCACGACAAAGACTATGCAATCAGGGAATCGTCTACCAGCGTCAAGATCTTCCGCAACTTCAAGGAGCGAAGTGTTCTGAACGTTGGCTTCTCTGCCGATGGTCTGAGTGGTGGTGTTCTCCTTGGTGTAAAGGGTCAGGGTGGCATTGGCCTGTTTGACTGGGATTCTGGAGCTCTGGTCCGAAGGATCGAAGTTGAGCCAAATAACGTTTTCTGGTCTGAGAGTGGTGAGCTTGTGACTTTGGCGACCGAAGACACCTTCTATGTCTTGCGCTACTCAAGAGAGAATTACCTCGAGGCAGTGCAGAACGGCGAGGTGGACGAGGATGGTGCCGAGTCTGCTTTCGAGGTTGTTTGCGACATCAACGAGAGGTAAGTCGACTGTCACGCGGCACTAGATGATCGCAAGAACTAACAGAATCAAAGCGTACGCACTGGTACATGGGTAGGAGACTGTTTCATCTACACAAACAGTACGAACCGCCTCAATTACCTTGTGGGCGACCAAACATATACCATCTCACATTTTGACTCACCACACTATGTCCTCGGATACCTGCCTCGTGACTCGAGGATCTACGTCGCGGACAAGGATGTCAATGTCGTCTCTTTTGCCCTGTCCCTGGCGGTCGTTGAGTACCAGACGCTCATTCTCCGTGGTGATCTCGAGGCTGCCGAGGAGACTCTGCCGTCGGTGCCAAAAGACCAGAACAACAAGATTGCGCGTTTCTTGGAAGGTCAGGGATACAAGGAAATGGCACTTAAGGTTGCCACCGACCCTGAACACCGCTTTGACCTCGCCTTGTCCCTGGGCGATCTGCAGCAAGCCGTTTCGATTGCTCGGGAACAAGACACTGAGCACAAGTGGAAGACGGTAGGAGACGCAGCGCTTAGCAACTGGGATGTGCAGCTGGCACAAGAATGCTTTGTCAAGGCCAAAGATCTCGGTTCGCTCCTACTTCTGTACAGCGCCACTAGCGACACAACTGGCCTAAGAGAACTGGCCGCTCTTGCGGAGACCGCGACGGCAAACAACGTGGCGTTTTCTGCGTTGTGGCAGATTGGCGATGTGCAGGCCTGTATTGATCTTCTTATCAAGACAAGCCGCTTTGCCGAGGCTGTGCTCTTTTCACAAACGTACAAGCCCAGCGCAACTGCTGAGCTGGTGAAGCAGTGGAAGGCGTCATTGGAAAAGGAGCAAAAGACCAAGGTGGCAAGGCTTCTTGGTACGCCGCCTCACGGTGATGGCGAGGGTGATGCTGAGATGTTCCCGGAATGGGATGAGTATCTGAGATTAGAGAAGGAAGGGGGTACTGTTGAAGACCTTCTTGTACAAGAAGAGGAAGGAGAGGCCGAGGATGCGGACGAGGAGATTGCGGCTGGCGCAGAAGAGGACGACAACGAAGAGGACGACGACGAGGATGATGAAGAGGATGAGGATGAGAAGTAGACAGTCATGGTGAATGATGAATGATGTCGTCTGACTGCTTTGGCGCGTTACTACTTTGAGAATATAATCTAGAGTAGTCTTTGTGAAAGAGAGAGAGAGTGTGTGTGTGTACGT